GGCGTTGGCGCTTCCGCCCGTGACGCCAGCTTCCTGAGGTATGTAGTCTGCATCTCGCTGGGAGTCTCGAATGGCCCTATTGTAATCGTCCTCTTCTTGCGCAGCAGTGCTGGGAGCTCCTAATGTCCATGGTCAGCCAAAGCCCCACACAACAGGGAAGGCAGTACCGGAAAGGTCCCCGGTCGTCCAGTCAATCATCCTACCAAGCGGCGATCGGTTGTTTGTTCTCGATGGAGGTCGTGAGGGAGCACCTGCTGAAGGCCCGTAGAAGCCGTTGTCGGGTGGAGGGGTGACGCCTTGTATGACGGCGTTGTCGGGAGCTTCAATGTTGAAAGCTGGCCAGCAAGAGTCAGCAACGCAATGTCTCCAGCTGCGAGAGCACAAGACCAAACGCACCTATACCCGTGTGATTCGGTTCCCCGTCACGACTGGCTCCGAATGCTGTGTCGTCCCATGTGTACTTTCTCCGGAACTGGGAGCCCTATTAGCTGCGATGAAGAGCTCTTTGACCAGGCACGACAGACCACGTCGACTCCATCTATCAAGACCTCTGACGCAAGCTCATCCCGATTGCTGTTGCTCTGTACTCCATGTCAGCCCTTCTGTGCAGCCGGACGAGCATCGCGCTTGGCAAACAGCCGCCATCATCTCACCTTGAGTGCCGTAATGACGATATTGCGGTCTCTAGCGGGGTCTAGGCCCGAGAACTCAAGGAAGTTGTCAACATCCTCAGCCGTGGGTTCGGGCGCCATGTTGTAAAGCCACCCCTCAGACAAGTACTATGTTTTCGGTCCGAATCGTTGCGAATGGTTCGATTAGAAGCGATGCGGGTGGAAGGATCGAGGGTAGTTGCGCATGGTTATCGAGAAAGACGGGCTGGAGTCGCAGGTGGCCTGGCGCATGTAGCTTTGCAAGAGAGAGAGGCTCGGAGGAGTAGTGCCAAACGGAAAGGACCCGATGTGATGTAGAGGTGACCCGGCCTAGGCGTGATGCTGTCCGTAAGGGTGCGGAAGAGAGGTCGGAAAGCAGCAATCAGCAACAGTACGGGAGAAAGCAATGCCAGCGGACTTTCAATTTCACTCCGTTCGTCTTGTCGTCAGATGTGGTCGAGACACCTCACGTTCGATTTGGTACCTCAGGAACGTGGAAGTGGCATTGGATGCAAGTACGTAGACCCGTGCTGGGAAGGCCCCATGAGCTGTCTGTCCTGTCGATTGCTCGTGGACAGTGCGCCTCAAGGTAACAGCGGCACAAAGATACTTCCCCACTATCTGCCGTCACCAACACTCTCTGCCCTCACAGGCACCCAGGTTTTGGGTCACAACTGAGGCAAGTAAGGCATATGAATCAAGCTCTGATTTCAACTCCTCAAAAGATCTGATATCGTTCGGCAACAGCTTTTTCTTCGTAATAGTAACCATCTAGTCGAGGTGATAAAAGATTAAGAAAAGGTCATCGATAACCGTCATGGATGCTGATGGTGTTAGCGGGGCAAGTTTACACTTTAAACCCCTTACGGCGCTGAAGGATCGAGAACGGCGTGCACGTTTACGGCCACTGCTGGCCCAGTCATCGCGAGCAATGTTGCGCCAACACGCAGCAGACGAGTGACCGGAGTACGCAAAGGTACGACACATTGGCCAAGAGCGTCCAGACAAGTCTGCTTATTACCCGCATGAGGCACGTTGGCTTGGTAAGCTTTCCCAGATAACCAACCTTTGCTAGATTTTCTCAGAGTGGCGCACTCTACAGTTGTGAAGTGATGAATTCATTGATTGGTCTAAGTGCGGTATCTCATACGCTGTCCTAGCCGCTTGGTTTGCCAATCAGCCACCAAACTATTGAATCCCGCCCCCTTCTGATTTCTCTGCCTTTGCAGAGCCAAATGTGAACTCCCGTATCCCTGTGTCGAAGCCCTCCTCAGAGATTGAATGATGCCAAACCCGTAAAAACCAAGACGCCGTGTTAGCCTAAGCAGGCCGTGCTGACAGCCGGTAAAACGCCCGGGGCCGTCGCTATGCATTATCATGCGTGTAGAGGAAGAAAGATGTAAGAAATGTGAGAGATGGAAAACGAGGCCACCGCAAACGCCGCCAAGTCAGAGTGACTGCCGTAAAGTGTTTGCTTTTCTTGGTGTCGCGGGTTCGAGTTGGAGCAGGAAAGTGTTTGTGTGTGTGTGTGTGTGTGTGTGTGTGTGTGTGTGTGTGTGTGTGTGTGTGTGTGTGTGTGTGTGTGTGTGTGTGTGTGTGTGTGTGTAATTGTGTGTGTGTGTGTGTGTGTGTGTGATGGGTCGATTCCCATGTTCGAGGGTTCAATTCAAGGCTTATCGTCGTCCGCATCCTCATCTTCATCGTCCTCGTTGTACTCGTCCATGTCGAAGTCGCTATCGCTACCGCCCAAATCAAAGTCACCCTCGTCGTCCGTCTCGTTCCAGAAGGCGTCGTCGTCGATGGGCTTCTGAGGCACAGGCTCCAGATCGGCGGTTGTGGGGAAGACCACACCCTCGGGAATGTCCTTCTTGGACTTTGCGACCGTATCTTGCGCTCTCTTCTGGTACTCGGCACGGTTGTCACGGTAGAGAACGCTCGCGTCGACGTTGGCGGGAGAGTTGATCTCGGGGTCGTCCAGAAGGAGTAGGACAGAACGCAAGACCGACTCTACGCCCTGCAGAGGAGACCAACGCTCGCAAGCCTGTTCTCCAGACTGCTCGTCTTCGCCCGGAGTGTGGAGGATGGAGATGCAGAGCTTGCCGTCGGTGTAGATGTTCGGGTGACAGATTCCCTTGTTGAGGAAGCGGAAGGTGGGAGGCTGGTACGGGTAGTCTCGAGGGAACGTCATTTCAGCCTTAGAAAAAGTCAGTGAGCCAGGTGCTTCCATAGTGTGTTGAGGGGAGATCAAGCAAACCTTCAGATAGCCTCCGTTGAAGGCGCTGTCGGGGTTGACGACCATGAGGCCAAGCTTCCAGTTCAAGACATTCCGCTCGTCAACATCAATGTGAACCCATTTCTCCTTCTGCAGGGTTTGATATTCACTCATCAATCGCTTCTGCGCCATGATGTTGGAGTATTTGTAACAGTGAGGTGGCGGTGGGTAGTATGCGGAAGAGAAGCACGTCGTCGTGAGGGAGTGGGATGAAGTTCAAGCGATGAGATGGATTTATCGCAGGGAAGAAGATGTCAAAATTTGATGCGATGCTAGTATGCAATTGTGTGCACAAACAGCAGTAGAAATGAAAGGGCACTCGTGTGGGTGGGCAGTGAAGAAGGCGCACCGCAAGTTCTCACAAGAGGCGTGTGACCGGAGAAAGGAAGCGACGATGAGGTGGGATGGAGGGTATGGAGGGGCGAAAGGGGATGACTCGATAAACCACCGAACTGACTCGGAGTGGGCGGCAGGCGATAAGATAAAGGGAGACGGGAGGACCGACCCGTTGTATGTGAAGACCTCGGGCTGTCTGGTGGGTGGAGGGAGTCGGGTGTGTAAGAGTATGAGACGGGAATGGAGTGGCGGTATTAAGGTCTGGTCCAGGGAGAGATTTTATGGTGTGTGCTGTGAGAGGGAGAAGAGGACCTCCAGGGACAAAGCTGAACAACGGAAGTCGCGATGCAAAGAAATAGTCTCAAATTACCTTGAGAAAGCAGCAACTCCAGCCAGAGCCAGAGTCTGAGGTGGCCCCTTTGCGATTTATCAAGGTTCCCTGCCATGAATGAGGTAAGGTAGACCGGAAACTGCCCTGCCTGGACGATTTGGGAACCATGGGACCCCAGCGAGCACCCGAGATGGCTAGACTCCTCAAGGAGGTCACGCAGTGTCTCGGATCCGTGGCCAGCTTCAGAGCCGTCGCCTGTCCTTGGCCCTACCAGCACCCTACCTTGCGGAGTACTCCTTGTCTGCCGCTGTCGGGTGCCTCTATCTTTGCCCCTTGTCTTATTGTCCCTGGACACTCGAGGACCTTGCGTAGTACTCGTACAAGAAGGTAAAGGTCACTTCACCAGTGCAGGCGTCAGTTAGTCAGCCAAATACGCCGCCACCAACAGGCCTTCCTTCATAATTGAAAACCTCTTGTTGTCTGCTCTGCCATCAATATTGCTGTGTCATCTTTGTGTGTGCTTATTCGACCTCGCCTCCGCCACTTTCAGTCTTTAACTCAAAGCCAACAACACACTCTGGGACTGCAAAGGGGTGGTGGTGGTCCGGACTCGCCATGCACCTCACAGGCACTGCCAGGTTTCTCTTTGTTGTCTGTGCATTTCAGCCTGTCACCACGTCAGGTACCAGCACAGCACTTACACCTCATGATTCCCTCGAGTATCCCGTCAACCTTGGGTACTGTTCCCAAAGACTGCCCAAGATGACTAAGGACATTCATACGGATAGAAGTTGCAAATATTTACGATGCCCATCATGATATCCACCCTCTATAATATGCCATCAAGGTATCCGTCCACGGGTATAGATTGAAAATCAACCCTCTCCCAAATCGCTGATCAAATTGGTACTCGCCCCAAAAATGCCTCCGTTTCGGTACCTGACCGGGAGCCTTTGTCCTCGCATAACGACCCGGCACGTAAATCCCTATTCTACGGGGTACTTTATGTCGCAAAAAAGGCGTCAGAGTAGGTAAACCAAGTCGAATCCCAGATAAACTCAATACTCCTTGGTCCGATCGTCCCGACCCAACCATGCAAACTCGCAGAAACCCACGTCACAAGTCACCGCCCCGGCATCGGACCCCTGCTTTCTTGTTCATTTCTTCTCGTTTTGTCACCACCATCCACCGCCATAACCTGCACCAAGGAATACTTCTTTGGGCAGACTCGAGCGAAGCTGATGCTTCGAGTACGCTTTCTCGGTAGAAATGGTAAAAGAAACCTAAAAGAAAGACAGAAAAGGAAAAGGAGGAAGAAGAATTTGAGCCTCGAAAGATTGTTCGTTTCTTTATTCATTCGTTTCTTTGGTGAGCAAGCTACAAGCTCACCCCATCTACCTCATCCAGCCGACTATGCCCCCAAATCATAGTAGACGCAGTTTCCAGTCCGGAAGTTATATAAAAACGCGTGCCGGCTGCCGCCGCTGCCGCTCTTCTTCTCCCACGCCCACTTCCAATTCAGCAACATGTCGTGAATCTCCCTCACGTACTTCTTCTCCGCCGTCGTGACGCTATGCTCCACCCGCCGCCAGCTCTCCCCGTCCGACAGGGACGTGTCCCGGATGAGGTCCATCACCTGATCCGTCGTCTCGATGGCCAGGATCGGTCCGTCGAGGAAAGACCGCACCAGGCTCGCCGCGCTCACCTGCGCCTGCTCCACGACCGTCCTGCGATTGAACTTTTTGCTCCGCGTCCCCGCCACCAGCACCCGCACGTCCTGCTCCTGGTGGTGCGTCTCAATCGTCGCGTTGGTCTCAGCCTGCTGCCCGCCGCCAGCCCGCGACTTGACCGCCGCCTTGGACTCCTTGGAGTCCCGCTCCCGGATCTCGGCGCGCAGCCACGAGAGCAGCTGCGCCATGGGTATGTCGACGTCGGGCGTGTCCTTCTTGTCCATCGTCTTGACCTTGAGGATGGCGTCTTGCTTGATGATAATGACCCAGGAGTAGCCCTCGTCACGGTTGCGAGAGAGCAGGTCTTCTGGGGACCGCGCATCCCTCGCAAGCTCGGCGCTGATGTTGTGCGACCACAGCGTCTGCAGGATCTCTATCCCCGTGGACCGCAGGACGGCAGCATCGAAACTGGCCACGAGGGCATCGCACTGTGAGATGTTGTGAGCAGCCAGACCAAAAGTGAGGGAAAACGATGACCTACTCTCTTCGTGCTGCTAAACATGTTGTGACCCTCTTCTTCCGACTTTTTGAGGAATGCTTTTCCGCTCGTCTTGGGGGCTCTCGAGAGCTTCTCCCACGACAGGTTGAATCCCACTGCGTGACGCTCTTCGTAATGGCTGCCAATCCTAGGACGATTCTCCCTGATGAGGCTGTCGTATCGGCCACCCGCAGCAAACACATCCTTCATCTTCTTGTCATAGAGGCAGGAGAACAGAGTTCCGCCAGTATAGAAGCTTTCTTTCAAACTGTTCAATGGCGTGACATATATCTTGCTCGTAACGCCAAGTCGTTTGGCATACTCCGAGACCTCTCTCAAATGCGCCAGAGTCGACGAAGCTCGTTGATACATGTCAGTGCCTTCAAACAGTGTCTTGAGCTTGGAGAAGGCCTTGGACGGCGTATCTAACTCAGGTTAGCATATGACTCAAAGCGAAAGAAAGGGAAACTGGCAAACCTCGGAAGTCAAATCGTTGCAACTCATCGACACTGGTTGCCGAAAGGCCTACAAGGGGAGAACGCAGTTGGGCTCTGATTTTCTGCCAAGACCAGTGGTGAATATTGAGCTTGCTGAGTACATCTGCCACAGCCCTTCGGGAGCCATGCTCGACGCGACAATAGTCAAAGATTAGCTGCAGCAAATCAGAATGTCCTAGATGGAAACACATCTGGCTCGTAGATAGTGACGGGAACGTGGCAATAATTTCATCCAGTACTTTGAGGACCTCGGCCTCCTTTAGTGCCATGTCGAGGGTGGTGGTCGTGACAATGTCAAAGTCAACTTCGCCCAGCATATAAGGTTGCCCAGTATCCCCCTTATCACGGAAAATATTGCCAAAAGTGAAAGTGCGCTGGACGCCCGGAGTCCCGCTAGCTTTGGCAAGCATTCTGGCGTGGCCCATTGTGAGATCAAACGGCAGCTGCAGAACGGTACCGTTCGAGTCCAGTAGTCTCATGACGTTCTCTGCGTAGTGGGACGACCGTGGGTAAAGGCAGGTGCGCTGACACTCCAGAGCTCCGTGTCGGCGAAATATAGAAATCAGGGTTTCCTTGACGATGCTTTGGTTGAGCAAGTCTGCCTGGCTGGGACTCGCTTCATGCATGTCCCAAGCGTAGTCTTTGGCTTGCTCCAGAGGCCGTGAGAAGAGCGTTGAAAGCATCTTCTTGTAGTAAGGCGAACTGGGGTCGGCAAGACCAGCTAATGTTCGTCTGATGGTCTCGCTTTCCATTTGCACCGGAAGCTTTCCACTTTGCAGCAATTCTGCACTCGATGGCCTTTCTTTGGGGTTATGGGTGATGAGAGACAGGACGATATCCGTCTGTATCTTTTCGGCAGGCTTGAAATCCACAGGGAGTTCAGAACTTGGTCGCCGGAGCTTCTCGAGAACTTCTGCTCTTTGCATGCCCAACATAGGGGGATAACACATCTCGAAGAAAATGATGCCCAGAGAGTACATCTAAACAGTATCAGAGACACGACCAACAAAGCATGACAACATATTTTGCGCGAGAGACTTACATCCACTTTAGAGCTGTACATTCCGCTAGACCCGGAGCGCACTTCCGGCGCAGCATAAGACGTAGTCCCGATACTCCTGGTAATATCGTCCGACTCCATCGTATTAGGAAGAGCCCTATCGACCGCGAACTGGCCGCTAGTGGCCAATCCGAAGTCTCCAATCTTGACATTGTCCGTCCCATCGCTACTGTGAGCAATGAAGATGTTTTCAGGTTTTAGGTCCCGATGGACGATGCTAAGACCGTGGATATGGGCCAGGCCTTCGAGAACCTGACGGAAAAGACGCCAGATTTCTGGCGTGTTTTGGTAGAGTTTTCGAGTGATCAGATCGCGTAATGTCTGTTGTCGTCAGTATCCCCAATGGTTTCGCAGACGGTGTATTCTGCGCGGTATAGGAACTCACCCTCTTTTCACAGTACTCCATGGAAATGTACAAGACAGTTCTAAAGGATCGTTGAGGCTTGATTCTTCTTTGAATTTCCCTGCTCCTTGGACCATTTCCGACAGCCTGGCTGCTGTCGTCGTCATCAGAGTCGCTTTCATCCTCAGTGCCTTCTTCATCGTCTTCATCATCTTCTTCAGATTCTTCCTCGGCGTCCGAATCATCGTAGCCGAACTCCACTTGTGGATAGCCACTCGAAGACATAAAATCCAGACCGCCGGTGCTGGTTGCAAAGTGAATCGCCGGGTCCTGTGAAATAGTATCGCGAGAGTCCTCCGTGTTCAGATCTTCGGTGGAGGTGTCGCCTTCCGTGTCAGACTGATCTGGTATCTCCTCGACCCAAGTGTTGTAGTAGCGCACCACAGCTGGGTGACTGAGCTGCGATAGTAGACGAACCTCTTTCAGAATTTCTGTCAAACTTGCTTGGGATCTTTGGCTGATCTTCTTGATGGCGTAAATCTGCCCATCCAGCTTCTTGCGAGCTTTGACAACCTCGCCAAACCCTCCCTTACCAAGACGACCTTCCTCGTCAAAGTCTTCCCGATATCTCGACGAAGTAAGAGTTCTATTCGTTGACTCGCGTCTCAATCTCGGAGGTATAGGCGATAATGCGTTTACGGAGTGATAGTTTGACGCGATTGACGCGGTGTCCTCGACGATCACAGGGGCGTCGGTGGCGAGGAACTCGCTGGAGCCGAGTTCGAAAGCACGGGGTCGTTTCTTGGGGTCCGGTTTGAAGAATCTAGTAACCAACTCCTGCAAAGGCCGCGACAGAGACATGGAGTCGGAGACAGCAGAGGGTGAGTGGTATTTTTGAGGCACGTCAAGTCCAAATATCATTTGAAGAAAAACGATGCCAAACTCCCACATGTCCGTCTTTTGTGTATAATGCTGTTTCGATAAAGCAGCAGTCTCTGGCGGCAGCCAATATGCAGACTTTGCAGAGCTCAACCCAATTGGCGCCTGTCCCTTGGAAGAGATGTTATGTAACTCCCTCTGGTAGCCTGCGTCTGACAACTTCGGCACGACTTCTCCTGTCTGTTCCCGGAAGAGCAGCACGTTTCCTGCATGGATATCCTGGTGTACCAGAGACTTGTTGTGCAGGAAGTTCAGAGCATCCAATAGATCCCGTGTCCAGGCACGTACTTTGCTGGTGTCCAACTGGCCAGCCAAGTCAAGTAGCTCGGCTAATGATCCCTTCTCAGCACTAGGTGTGAGGACATTGACAGTCCAGAGGCTTGCTGACGCTTTCTCGACATTGTTTTTCTCGCGCTCTACCTTGAAATCCAAGACCTCGAGCAAGTTGCGATGACGCACCTGTTTGAGCGCTTCCAGCTGACCCTCGAGTGACTGGATTTGCTTCTTGAATACTGAAGTGTCCTTCGAAGCCGGGCGAAGAACTGTCTCCTTGAGCGCCAAGTTGGGGCACTCTTGTCCGCTGCCTACGAGAGGCCAGACGGAGAAGATGGTTGAGACGGGACCTTTGGCAATCTCGGACTTTCCAAAGACAGCCTGGAAGGAAATGGCATTTCCAGTCTTGTCGGTGGTCTGGCAAGGTCTGTCAAAGATGATGCGGCCACTTTCGGGCCAGTTGGGACCGTCCATTGTGTTGAGAGATGGTAATCCTCCGTTGGGGCGATTCTTTTTTCGTGTCTCCTTGGCTTTCTCTTTCTGACGCTTCAATTCAACCTGTAACAAGCCACCGAGAACCCTCTCCTCCTCCTTGCTTTCCTCTTCCTTCTTGCGCTCCTCGGCTTGTTTCTGCTCCTCGGCCAACTTGGCCAACGAAGCCTCATGTGCCGCTCTCTCCTCTTCCAGCGAAGGCAGCTCAAGTCCCTTCGCCTTTGCCTGGGCCGCGTCTTCGAGAACGTCTCTGAGTCCCTCTACGATACGGTCCACCATCTCCTGCTCCTCGGTGGCAAAGATCTTGGGCTCTGTCTCGAGGTACTTCTGAAGTTTGAACAAAGTGACCTCGCGAAGGTCGCCAGTGTTCTTCAGTGTTAGTAGCGGCGGGCTTCTGGGGTACGTAGCAGTCATCACAACGCCCAGCGTAACTGCAAAGTCTTCATCTGATGAAGCTCTGATGCGAACATCGAATGAGGGGTCGGATTTCTGTTTGGAGCATCAGCATCAGGCTCTGTTCAATGAAGTCTTGATATGCTGAGGACGGGATGATATTGATGTAGCCATTACCTTCCAAGCGCCCGGCGTCTCTGCATGCCTCATGAAATCCTCTCCATAAATGGCTTCAAGGGCGATGAGCTCGTTTTGCTGGAGCTCCTCATATTCCAATTTGGGGGCGGCCTCGGGACGCTTTGGTTTGAGTCCCGGGAAGCTTGAGTCATCTTCATTTTTCTGCGGTTTGTCGATGGGCTTGTTCCACACCCCGGATGATTTCCACGCCATATCGAGGACGACGAGAAAAGGCTTGACGAATCACCACAGCGCGAGCCGTGACAGTCCGTTACGGGAAAGCCATAATTGGTACGTTGAGCAAAGTTAGTTATTCAGATATAGTAATATGGGTGAAGCAAAGCTAAGAAGAAAAGAGGAAGAAGTCACAAGCGCAGGTCTAGCCGATGAAAGCGCCACACCGCGACCATCGACGGCTGGCGACCTGGTGCGCTGTCACAGTACGGCGCATTCGCCTTTAGCTGGGTGCCTTACCGCTGCCAAACTGGAAGTGGGGGTTCGTTTTGGGGCGAACAAGTGCCCCTCAATGATGACGCTGACCGTCTTAGTTGCTCTTTCCAGTGGGCCAAGGCGCCTGAAGCTCTGAAGAACCCCTGAGGCGAGGGGCAGTGGAAAGCGACAAAGACATTGGATGCAGTGTGCACACGGTGACTAAGCACGGTGTGGGACCAGGGGACGAACCACGGACGCGCCGTCCGTATGCGGTAACAAAGTAAACAACTGAGAACCACATCTGTTCGCCGCGGTCAGATCACCAAAAACTGCACAACTAATTAATACCTGACCCGCCGGGACATGAGCGCATGTGATGTGATCTCGTCTGTCGGACTCCGCCCAACCTCAAACACCATTGATCCGCGCGCATATATCTACTGGCACAACCAGCTTCCTCCACCGATAAGAAGCCCACAAGCAACCTAGGATGTTGGGCTGGGTTCTCAGACGAGGGTTGGAGGGCGCGTCGGGGGGAAACAGAGCAAACGCAGGCGCAGGTAAGAAGGCCCAGCCAGATCAAACCTTCTTTCCCGCCGCATCGCACGGCTTTTCTGACTTCACAGCAGACGACACAACACAGATTGAGCAACCAGATACGCCCGCGCCCGTCTTTGCCGCCCGCGCACTCAAAAGCGCCATCTTTGGAACACCCGCGAGACCTGACGACGACAATACTGCCAGCATGGCGCGTCGCAAGGACGAAGACGACTCTGATGCCGAGTCCCGAACCCCGATGAAGCAACCTCAAGGAATTCTTCTCACCCCAGGAACCGGAACATCTCGGCGGAAGCGTGTGTCGTTCGGACACGATGTGCTGGACAATAAGAAGGTCGAAAACAGAAAGGGCAAAGAAGTAGACACCGATGAACGACCTGGGAGGTTTCCAGACAGTTTTGCAGACACAACCAGCGACTCCGCAAGCAAGCGCACCAAATTGACCGAAACAATGGAGAATTCACGACGCAACAAAGGAGCTTCAAGCTCGCGGGAGAGGAGCCAGACGCGGACCGCCGCAGCCAGGAGTGATGATGCTGAGGACGAATGGGAGGAAGCCGACGATGACCAATGCATGCACGATATCACAATGGACCTTAATGAGCCCCATTCGCGGTCGGGCAAGTACTGGAAGTCGGAATTCGAACAATATCACCAGGACGCTAAAGCCGAGATGGAGAAATTGCTCAAGTACAAACAGCTTGCCAAGTCGTACGCCAAGATGAAGGACGCCGAGGCTATCGACCTCAACGCCAAACTCAGGGACGAGCAAGAGAAGGCCGCCAAGATGGAGAAGAAGATCTCCGAAATGGCGGCGCAGATTGCCGCGAAGCAGCGAGCAAGCGGGGAAGAGAGAGACAATCCCCAGCTTATCAAAGACTTAGCAAAACAGACTGCCGTGGCTGTTGAGTACCGGACGCAGGTGCAGGAACTAGCTGCCCTGTTGGAGAACCGCGAAACCGGCGAAGACGAAGAAGGGGACGCACGAAGCAGGCGTCGGCGGCAGGCTGCCTCACCACGAACACACAAGACCTTGCTCGAGGCCCAGCGAGAGTTGAGAAAGGCTCGAACACAAGTCAAGGAGAATGGGCAGCTACGGGAGGAAGTCGAACGGCTAAAGTCCGATCTCCTGTTTGCAGAGCAACGAGCAAACAAGCTCGCCGAAGAAAACAAACGACTTGCCGAGCAACAACCATCACAGAGCAAGGAACAAGGCAAAGACGCCGCGATATCGGGGAAGCGTGTGGACGAGCTAGAGGCTGCGATTCGCAAGAAAGACGATGAATTACGCAAGTTGAAGTCGGAGTTTGAGAATTACAGAACGGACGCCGAAGCCACGCAAGAAGATACGCGGCGCATCTTGGAGAAGGCAACGGAGAAGATCAACGAGCTCAAAAGGGAAAACAAGACTCTCAAAGCAGCAACAGCCGATGTGCCGAAGACGAAGAACGGCACTGCTCCCTCTGAACGTGAGCCCGTTGCCAAGGAACACCGCACTCAAGAGACTGACCGCTTTACTGCGGATCATAAAAGCCGCAAAACTTCAACCGAGGCAGGCCGCCGGAGCTTCGACCTAGTAGAATCACTAGGTAAGAAGCTCAACGAGCCAAAGTCTCAAAACCTTCGGGACAAGTATCAGCGAGACGCCGACTCCCTCAGCTCAGACGACGAGCCGCCCGCGAGAGAGCCACCGAGGCGCCCCCAGTCCGAAATCTTCTCGAACCGCGTCAGCCTGGACAAGCCCAAGTGGCGGCCTTTCATCCCAAGGTCCCCTCGCAACAGAGAATACTTAGGTTCTGACCTGAACGATCGCATCGTCACCTCGAGCGAGGTTCCGACAGGCAGCACGCCGGCACCTCGACACAGGTTCTCCAGCAAGGACAAGGACGCACCAATTGATCTGCTGCAGGATCGTTTTGCTCGGCTAGGGGGACCGGGCGAGCCCGATGTTGAGGCCAGCACCATGCTGGCAGCAAACATGTCAAAGAGCACATTACCACCGCAGAGACGGGCAGCAGCCATCGCGCGAATAGAACAGAGAAAGGCCGACAAGAGGCGCGCAGCGTCGGGCCAAAGCAATAACAAGGAGAACATGCGACCACAGCGCTCATGATGTTAATTTGCATGGTGGGCTGGTTTACGTTCTTCCGCCCTTTAGTGTTTATGGCGTTTTGGTTGGAGGGATATGATTCAGGCATTATTGTACGAGTAGTCTTTTTTGACCACCAAAGATGATAGCATGGAGTTTGGCGGGGGTATCATATCAACTCGGATTATTCAAATGATTCCAAGAAACCTCTCTCTCGCAGGCTGTGTGTTCCCCATGATTTGCTTTTGTTTTACCGTGTTTTTTTCTGTCTTTTTTCTTCTTTTACCCATTCCTTATGCGCTCAAGGTTCCCTTGGTGCTAGGCACCTCGCCCTCCTTACCAGCGACGCGGCTAGTGGCCATCTTGACAGCGACGGCGAGGGCCTTGAAGGCGCTCTCTGCGCGGTGATGGTCGTTTTCGCCGCGGAGGCAGTCGACGTGGAGGGTGATTCTGGCGCCCTGGGCGAAGCTCTGCAGGCAGTGGGGGATCATCTCGCAGGACAGGTCGCCAATCTTTTCGCGGCGGAGGCCGAGCTCGACGACGCTGTAGGGCCGGTTGGAGAGGTCGACGACGGCGCGGGAGAGGGCCTCGTCGAGGGGCGCGTAGGCGTAGCCGAAGCGGGCGAGGCCGGTTGCGCTGCCGAGGGCGGCGGCGAAGGCGTAGCCGAGGGCTATGCAGACGTCTTCTGCTGTGTGGTGGTCATCGACTATAGAGGGTAAGGTGTTAGGTGTAAGTCTGCATGGACGGGCTTTCCTTGTCCTTTGCGCCAGTGTCCTTGCGTCACTGTTTCTGGGGAAACGAACTGTGAAGGTCGCCCTTGCAGGCGATGGCCAGACTCCAGCCGGCGTGCTTGGAGAGGGCGTGGAGCATGTGGTCGAGGAAGCCGATGCCCGTGTTGACGCTGATGGTCTGGGACTTGCTTGCCTGGGAGGCGTGTTCGGTGACGGCCGCGGTGAGCCTCTCGTCGGTGTCTGGGGGGAATGCCCCGCCGTCGAGGTTGAGGGCCATCTGGATCTTTGTCTCGTTGGTGTCGCGCGCGAGGGCGGCCCATCTGGGCGGGTGAGATGTTGTAGACATGGCTGGTGTGTGAATAGGTCGTATATGACTGAGAACAGGGGTGATATGTCAAGAATTGGTACAAAGATCGAGGGAATGTCGCAAGTGTATTGAATATCTTCGAGGTTGAATTGGGACTTTTTTTTTGTTAGTCACTAATCGCTATCAATGGGCGCCGTGTGTCGGAGCTGCCAGTGGCGGGGAGGGGCAGACTTCAGATGAGGTGGGGCATTGCCCAATCACCACCCCTCAACTGTCAGCGATTGCTGCCGCCATCAAACAGAGGGTAAGGTACAGGTAGGTAAGGAAGGTATTACCTAAGGTAAGTAAATCGTACCCGACCGCATTCTCCAATTTTCACCGCTTGGGGGGCCAGGCCCACCCGAAGCAATGGAGCTCCAGCGGCAGAAAAAAAATAATTGAAAAGCGCAGAGGCAGGAACGTTTCTTTGTCCTTCCAGCTTTCCCCAGCTCGCCCCCAAAAAGGAGAGGACACGGGTCAGGAAAAGAGCATAGGTGACCAACACCAACACATCAGCGCTGCAGCCTGGTGTCTAATTGGTCACGTCTTTCCTCTCCCGCAACACCTGCAGATAAATAGTGCAGCCTGGCCAATTTGCTAGCTGCCTTGTCATCTGCAACATCACCACATTCTCTCGTTTGCTTCAACGACCTCTCACTTACCTGCCTTTTTAACGCACTGGAACACATAGCTTACTTGCTTGCTGGACATTGGAAGATATGTCCGAGTTCCTCGATGCCTACTGGCAGGCGCCGCCTGTTGCAAGGTAAGCACAGCTCATCCCTCTCACCTTGCTCTCTTCCTCAGCCTTGCTGACTCGTCTTCAACAGAACATTTGCAACAGCCGCGTTCGTCACCTCTCTTTCTGTTCTCCTGGGCGTCGCAAATGGATACTGGTTCATCTTCATGCCCCAGTTCCTCTTCCAGATCCCGCCTCAGATTTGGCGTCTCGGGACCAACTTCCTGCTCACCGGCCCCCAGCTCGGGTTGCTCTTTGACACGTACTTCCTGTACCACTACCTCACGGCGCTCGAGGTCGGCAACCCTAGGTTCGCCAGGCGCGAGGATGTCATCTGGTATCTAATGTTCGTGTGCACTGTCATCACGGTAAGTTGCTATTGTCGCTGCTTCGGCAGTCCGCCCAAACCATGCTATTTCCCTCTTGGAAAACTTCCTCCATTATACACAATGCCCATACGAGAGGAACATCTCTTCCTCTCTTGCTACACACAACTCTCTTGCACCTCATATTATCTGCCCGCACAGTGGAATCCCACAGCTGTCAGCGGTTCCTGGAAATGAGGAAGATTACCCTCACGGCTCGACCCGTCCTCTTTCGCTTTAGGGACGTGGCTTGTGGCGTGGGCATGGTGGGATGTCTTATGGATGGCTTGTGCAACCTCACAATGTTGCTCGAGTGGTTTTCTTAGCGCCCTACATATCTTCACCCAATCTATGGGTTTTTTGTTCCTCTTGTTCACTGTTTATACCATCATCATGACCAATATCAATCATACAGCTTCGGCCCAAAGGAGCATGCGCTAATATCGCACAGGCACTCTGCACCTACCTCATGGGCGGAGGAGCCTTCCTGCCGGCTTTGATTCTCGCCATGTGCCGTACCGTCACCCAAGATCAGCGTGGGATGAAGGCCAACTTTTACTTCGTCACCATCCCCGCCCAGCTCACGCCGTTCTGCATGATGCTTGTGTCGTTGTTGTTCCCCGGCGGATACTACACCGCCATGCTCCAGCTCATGGGCTTCCTGGCCGCTCACCTCTACGATTTCCTGTCCCGGGTGTGGCCCGAGTTCAGCGGAGGCAGCAACCTGATCCCTACGCCCGGCTTCCTGTCTCGTCTTGTACAGACGCCTCGCTTTAACCAGCGTGGATACGGCACCGCTGTTCGCGGCGGTGGTGGCTCCGCCCAAAGTTCGGGTAGCAGCACCGGTGTGTCTCAGGGCGGCGGTGTTTTGCCCGAGTCGTGGAGGACGAGAGGACCTGGCAGACGCTTGGGATGATCAAGGTTACGGGAGGTAGTATGTAGTGTGTATGATAGAATCAATTACATGAGCAATGATGCTTCGACCTGAAGCCTTTGCTACCTATTCGATGGCGTAGTTTCCCTCGTTTCACGCCTTTAGTAACTCCTTGACCCCATAACTCCTTGATATCTAGCGAATGTTGAATACAAAAGACAGCCACTCCTTAGTCCGACAAATTTAATTATTCCACCAAACTCAATATTATCCGTAAAGGGTGCTCTTCCCACTGCCGATGGGTATATCCCTTTCCCAATCAGCCGGGTCAATATCTCTCACAGGAGCAACATTAGTTGTTACAGGACCCCCAGCCAGAGGCCTGTCCTGGAATCTGGACTCTCGCAGGCTCAGCGGTTCGGATATGCTCATCCCAGCCGTGTGGTTCATGCCGTCGATGGGTGACGCACCAGAGACGATGATCTGAGGTGGCGCGTACTTCTTTGGAATACGTAGCCGAGGCATCGTTGGCATGGAAATTGAGGGGACCATCGTGGTCCGCGGAGGCGGTCCAGCTGGTGGCGGGGGGAGAAGCGGGCTGGTTCGTTGGCTCGCCAGGCCACTGTGCCACCGTGACGGCGCAGGCGACGAAGACCGCGAAGCGACCGTCGGCGGGAAGATGGGTATAACACCCGAGTCCATGGGAGGGGGAGGATAGTTCTGGTTCGGCGGCGTCACCGAGTGCTGCGTCTGCCGGCTCATGGCGCGCGGGATGTACGCCGGGTGCGTCGGGAGGGCGCTGCCGGCATTGCGATGTGCCATGTGCGGGTCAAAGTTGTAGCTGGCGTTGCTCCGTCCTATGCGGCTGTCTTCCTCGTAGTAGTCGGCGTTGGCCATGTGCTTCTCCTGGAGCTCGTAGTTGAACGAGTTGATAGAGGACGACTTCTTGTGGTCGGCGATGGGCAGGTACGGGTTGATGGCTGTGTGGGAGCTCGCGTTGCTGCCTGCCCGCGGCGGTAGGTCGTCGCGATCGCGGTCCGCTTCGTCACGGATTTTTCGTTGTTTGCGGCAGTAGACGATGAAGAGGCAGATGGCCCCGATGAAGACGAGGCCGCCGCCAACCGCGATGCCGACGATCGTGCCCATGGTCATCGTGGTGGCGGAGGCGCCACCATCTCCTGGCATCGTCGTGTTTGTCGACTGGTCGGTGATGTTGACGGGGGTATCAGAGAAGATTTGCCCCGTCAGAGCGATGACGCTTCCGAGGGCCGGCTTCTGCTGGCATCCTGCCTTCAACGCAATCAGGACTGTGATGAGTGGTCAGTGACGTGGGTGAGAGGTATAGTTAGGAGGTAACACCAACAGTTGGAGAGGTAGCTTTGCTGCTCGCTTGACTGCAGACATTTCACACACGGCCAGTAGCTGGAGGGAAACTTTGCCCCATCTGCGGTGCAGTAGTCATAGGTGTTGTCACTACTAGATGTCGTGAGGGATGTCGTCAAGGCGTTACGGAGTGGTTCGCAGGCAGCTTTGATGCCGCAGGGAGAGTTGAGATCCGACACCGCTTCGGGGAAACTGTAGATACAAGAGTCGACGGCATATCTGATGTTGCCTTCTCGAAATATTAGTGAATTTCACAATAGGTGACTCTGGAATATCCAGAGAGGATGAGGAAATTGTCCATACGCAGGAACGCTGCAGTATCACTGTCTGAACCCTTCGTCGCCTGGCTTTCCTGCAGACAGCTGACGCAGTTTTTGAATTTGATTCCCTTTCCCGACGTGTGATATTGATTGTTCTCGCAAACAATATCCGATGAGTTTGTAGGCGAGGCCGATGTGTCTACCGATGTCCCGTTCGATCCACCCAAACATAGTGCCGCACAGTCCGAGTCGGGTGTTACGTCCAGGCAGAATGCCGTCGATACGAGAGAGACGGTGGCGAACAGTCGCCAAGTTGATGAGAACATCATGTTCGCCTTGTCAACAGGATGGAAAAGATGTTCGTAGGGAGAAAGCGAGGAGGAGGGACGCGGGAGGGTACGTTGGAATATGCTTCACCTCGATGGCATGTGTGCACAGGTGGTATTGCAGTTTTGACCTCTGCAGAGGCAACGCGGCTCCAGGCTCGCAGGCCTTGCCATCGCAGAGGGTGTCCCGGGTTGTACGGCCGGTGGTGTAGTGATGTGCATTAGTGTCATTGGCGTCGAATTTCGCAAAGTCCATTACAACTTGTAAGTGACCAAGGGATTGCAGTATCTCACTCCGGAAAGTCGAAAAATAAGTTGTCTCCCATGCAAGAACCCCAGACCGGAATCTCAGAATAGCAGCTCCAATGTTGGTGGATGGGGCACCTCGACCAGTCAAACCCCCTGCTCTGAACTCCGGGAACAGAGTCACTGTCCAGCCGTGGACGCCCGACCAATGGGAAACTGGCAAGGTGGGATATTCCAGCGGCAAACAGACAAGAGGATCGGCCAGGGTTGAGAAACAAACAGGGGCCGTAATTGGACGGGTAAGACAGGCAGAGCGGGAGGCAATGGAACGTAAAACAACCATGGGAAAGAAGACTGAGTGGTCCTCCTAGACGCCGGCCAGGGAGGCGGCCCTCCCTCCCCCATCCTCACTTCTACTCTGCGTGCTTCTTCCTCTGTCCACATTCAGTGTCTTGCTCTTCTGACCAGTCAGCGGCAACGTCTACCCTGTCGCTAAGCCGAAAGAGCCTATCATACAAATCATCCATGTCAGCCCAAGAGTAGAAGGAGCGGGGAAATCAGGCCACTCGCGCCAAGGCGGCTCGAGAACGGCCTGTATCTTTGAAGCCAAAATAACTCGTGGAGGCAAGGGCAGATCCACAGCGCTTCGAAGCGAGCGACCAACAACGCAGGAAGAGGTCTGACTAAGGCACGGAAGAAGGATTCAAGAGGAGCACGAAGGGTTCAAACTAATGAATCAGAGCCAAACCCGAAATCGGGACATTGCCCACATGGACGCTCTTGATGGGCATTGTCTTTAAATTATCCGTTTCATATGACTGACACATGTGTCTGCCATACGATGTTTCTGTTCTTCCAAACAGATGAGGACGTTGAACTTGAGCAACATGACGGAGCGAAAGCTGAAGTTGCTTTTCAGCTTCCACGAGGCAGGCTGGGAGCAAGCCAGGCTGCTTCACTGGTAGGTGTGTCACTTTGCCGCGGCAGCGGCTACTCAACCCATTCAAAATCCCAAGCGTAAATCATAAATCTTTCATTAATTCGGTGTGGACTGCAGAGTGAGGATCCGTGAATAGTAGCGTGGGAGTGTGACTATGGCTGCATGGCCGGCCCCCTCATTCTACTTGGCTGAGGGTAACGTCTCGTGCTTGGCACCAACTCACCCATTATTGTGTGAGTAAGCAAGGTTTGAGCGATTTCCTTCCCATCTTAGATGACTACGGCTTGCTACTGGCATTGCTGCTGTTGGTATTAAACTATTCCAACATCCCCCCTAGCGTTTCGAGACTGTGTGCTTCGCTGATTATTCAACTGTCATTCAAGGGAGTACGTGGAAATCCTTAGAATCCAACTTCACTGACAGTTCACACTCTACATCAAATCACCGTTATCCTGGCAAACAACGAGCATTCTCATCGTTCCTGTTATTAGCGGTCAGAACTCAGGCATCGACTCTTCACGTATCACACTCCCGGCCCCTTGCAGGCATCGTGGTGATACGACAGGTGGCAGCAGACAGAAACTATGGTTTGGCATATATCACTGGCTTGAAGCATCGTACTCAAAATGAGCTTGGCGCAAACCTTCCACCCATACGAGCAATGGTTTTCAGCTCTCGTTTTGACAACTACCTGATGGCTTGGCCCCTTTGGGTCGTTACACGAACTTCCAACACTTCTCGGAAACGGAAAGTGATAAACTCACATCATCATTTCTGTTCTCAATCGGTGAACATGATCTTCGCCGTGTACGAAGTGAAGTCTTTCCTCAAATTGCTTGCAGTACGAAAACATCATTGTGTTGGTGACAGCACCTGTCTCAAACTGGAAGCATGTCAGTAAATCGGGCAGTTCTGGCAGAATTCGTGGTTCCACACTCGTCTCTCAACCTGTCCTTTATCAGCGACTCAAGGGATCAATGTGTCTACTCGGGTAGTCTTAACGGAAATTCAATTATCTCCACAGCCCACTTCCATACGATGATGGCATTATCAAAGTGTCATGCTACATAGGCTGCTCGGGCCGACCATTACGTGCTCTGAGCCGTACGAGGGTGAGACTCGGTGAAGTTTCTGACTGGGTTCTTGAACACTGTCATCAAATTCTTCGTTTATCTGCTTGCTTGCTCTCAGGAAAACCCAAGGTTTCGGCCCTGTTTTAAGAAGATTTGGTTGTACAAAGTGCTGTTTGGGTCATGTGTTACCGTGACAATCAAGTCATGAAGCTAGATCTTGATCTGTATACGATGGCATAGACACAGTCAGTAAATAGTTAGATAGCATTGAGCTCGACTACATAAGACGGGGACCGAACGGAGTCTATTCAGTTCGTCACAGACCTCAAGACGAAGTCTCTCAATCCTAATCATCATAATCACACTTCCATCACAAGATCGATTGTTCGTCATGTACATCCGCTCACTTATGTTGTCTGCCATCTTGGCGAACCTGAGCCTCGGGGCTCCGGCCGAACCAACGCAACCTCAAACCCCGGAAGACTGGTCGCTCTTAGGCTTCCGACGAGTCTGCGAGCAGGAACAAGGCAGCTGTAGCTACAGCTTCCTCATTTCCGAAGACTCGGCAAAAGCGCCGAAATATTGCGACTTCGCCATCGACGCCGCGGATGGACTCCCTGCATACCAGACCGATTTCTCGTCTATCAAGTGCCCTGGTGCTCCCGAATACACCATCAACGGTGGTTGGGATGAGCGTGAATTCATCACTTTGACCGTCATCAACGACGAGAGACAGCTCCTGTCCTTCTTTGCCTACAAGGATACTGACTTGTGGGCCGGCATTGAAGCCTCGCCCCAGACGTCCAAAGTATTCCTCTATCCTCTGTCGGCCAAGCGAGATGTCGAATCTAGGGACGAAACGTCGGGCCTGGAGTACGCTGCGGACTGGAAGATCTTGAACCTCGTCAGATGTGAGTTTCCACATAGGTTTCCTATTTACTCAAGCATTGGTCGATGACATTTACTCACAAATTCCGTCAGATGAATTCAACCGAGGCGCGCCTTACACCGACGCACTGATCATGTCCTTCCGCATCCAAGCTGGAGACGCTCCGACCGAGACGTGTCGTCTCATTGTTCCGTTGTTCGAAGGCACCAGACCCCTTGGCAAGAGTTTCGCCTACGAAGAATGCATGTCTGGAGGCTGGACGGTCTCGTGGGGCCACAATGAGACCACGAGCGAAGCTGTGATGACACTGATGAAGTAATACTCAAAACTCTCTTCTCCCCATGCCAGAAGCTAATAACGTCGGTAGCCCGAACCATGACAGAGCCGCGTTCTTTGGCTTCAACAATGTCAACACCAATACTCTTTTTGGCGACAACGGACCTAATGCTGTCTCTGTCTTATTTTGAGTGAAGGCATTTGTATGTTGCAAGTGGCGGCATGAGGTACGCTGGGAGATCGGGGGTGAGGGAGACTGGCGCGACAGGGGCTAAATTCTCTTCTTCCGCAAACTTTCTTGGACATGATGTTCGGGGTTTCAATTCCTACTAGACTGGTGGTGGGTAATCACGGCGTCATTGAAGTGGTGTTTGTAATCCAGACTTGGGTTACCGTCTAAGTACATTGGACTGGTTAAAATCAAATCGCATGAGTCCGCGTACGAGATGCTATGTGATGGGTAAAGTGAAAACGAGATACGACTTGGCGCAGTTGACAGACTTGTTCACATGCCTACTTCGGTCAGGATCTAGAACTATGACTGAGGAAGCAAAGTGCAGGGCGGTGAATTCTCCTTGAGAATGAACAACCCGAAGCCAACGTGCTGTTCGATCATCGAAAGCAAGCGAGCCGAATTCTGCACCTAGCATTGAGTCTTGACAGACAATATGTTCACTGAAGAAATGCCAACGGCTGAAGCTTCTTGGCTATGTGGTCAGGCAATGTGTTCGAAAACAGTCTCAACTCGAAGCCACAAGAGACTAACAACTGACTTGCGAGATACAACACTAGCCTCATACGCCAATGTGTCACAAAGAAACGGCCCCAGAGATGAGTGTTCGGATCACGGGTCTCGGGGGTTCACAAACAACGAGAAGATTTCGAAGATTTCGAAGAAAGACTGGATACAGCCAATAGAGGACTAGATGCGTAAGTAGGAAATGCCGGCATGTTGTGCTGTGCCGCCGCCACGCATGCCATCCACGTGTGGGAGGGGACGGATCACCAACGGCTGCTACCGAGATTACACTGTCATACATCGCGTGTACGAATTACGGATACCTTTGACGTGAATAGCGGTCTTTTTGCCGCTTCTCGCATAAGCATGCGGGAGGGCAACTGCTCAACAAAGTGTTCTATTCGTACATGTTTGACCACTTACTGATTCCACTTTTGCAAAGTAGACATAGGATTTGATGCTCATAGACATCTCGTGACCACTGACCTGCTTTTGCAGCGAGTACATGTCAGCCACTCATTGCGCCTTGCTGGCTGAGAAGGAGCGGCAGCGGCCCCTCTTCTCGCGCAATATGGTGAAATGAATGATGCCAGAAACGTTCGATGGATCATCAAAACCCACGACCTCTTCTCACCGGTCCCCTTTGAGCGATACGATACCGACCTCACCAGTAAGGTCGACCAGTGTGAACAGGAAGCAAAGCGCCAGCTGCAGTGGCACCCTTGGGTCCCCTGTCAGGGCCGAGCCTGGCGGCAAATGGCGCTTCGCTGTTGGTTCTTGCAAATGTGCCATCACACGCTACCAATCACCTCGCTGAACACTGCATGCCTGCGCCTCTTTGGCCACACACTGAGAAGCTTGCTTTCCCTACCCGCATTTTGCGCTGCAGTGCAGCACCCTGTTCTTTCACGCAGATCTCCCCTGAGAAGGGCGTGACCGTTGGCCAGTGGCTGGCAACTTAGCATCACCAGGCCCGGGTTTCTGGCAACTTGGCTGCTGTGCTGCTCTCCCGCCCCCAAAATCGCACAGGCACTTTCTCCATAATTTCTGCCTCCCCCAGGATCCTATTTCCCAAAGGGTATTGTGTCGTACCTCATCTGTACCACCATTCACCCCGCGGACAGTGTCTGAATCCGGCTGCATCCAACCGCATTATCTTTAAACCTTGATGCCCGGCAGTTTTCGTTCATGTCTCTGCCATCACCAGTCGTACTATCTTCCTCACCAACGGCGACAACTCGCAGCACTGGCAGAAGGACCGCTGAGGTCAGGATCCGGAACGCCGTTGTTGTAGAGGGTACGCTGGCCAGTTGACAGAGGCGATTCACAAGATGAGGATAGGCTGTTTACAGTTTGCCCCTCAAGTGGGTGATGTTGACAATAACCTCAACCGAGCCGATGCCGTCTTGAGCAAAGCCGACCCTGGAGAGCTCGATCTTCTCGTTCTTCCAGAGCTGTCCTTTTCCGGTAAGTTGATCGCGGATGCTGGGTTAGGCAGAGCAATGGAGGTTGCGGCTTCCCATAGTCATCGCACTTCAGAAGGCAAACTGCAGTGCTGCAGGAGAGTTTTCCTCCTTGGCGTTTACTTACACTGCTTCTCCTCAACAGGCTACAATTTCACGTCGTTGAATCATATTGCGCCTTACCTCGAACACTCAGGCTCCGGCATCACGTCGTTATGGGCTCGAACAACTGCCCTCAAGTACAGCTGCAATCTCGTTGTTGGATACCCAGAGAAAGTTGACATCACCGAGGACTGGCCAGCAAGTCCCGAATACTACAACGCGGCTCTTGTAGTCAACGAGGACGGCGAAACGATTGCGAACTACAGAAAGTCGTTTCTGTATTATACCGACGAAACCTGGGCACTGGAAGGAGATGAAGGGTTCTACCGAGGAACCATCCCCGGCTTGGGCCGAACTTCTATCGGCATTTGTAAGTTTTCGGAGTTCAGTCCGTTTCGATCAGACTGCATTTACTGACTATCATGCAGGCATGGACATTAAGTGAGTTGGCGTAAACGCCAAGTCACAGTTAGTCGCTAATTGCCTACAGTCCTTATAAGTTTGAAGCACCATGGCACGCCCACGAATTCGCATTCCATGTCATGGAGTCCTATTCTAACTTGGTTATCATGTCAATGGCCTGGTTGACCCGCGCAGATGCTCAAGTATTCACGTCGACCCCGAATGAACCCGATATGGACACTTTGACCTACTGGGTCGCTCGCCTGGAGCCCCTGATTCGGAGTGAGAATGACGATGAGATCATTGTGGTGTTCTGCAACAGGACCGGCATAGAGGATGACGCTGTATACGCCGGCACTAGTGCTGTCATTGGTGTTCAACACGGCGAGGTCAAAATTTACGGGGTTCTCGGACGTGGTGAGAAGAAGCTCTTGGTTGTCGACACGAACCAGGCACCTTATGCAAAGCTGGTCTATCGCCCCGAGCCTGAGGAATCTGTTACTGCCCAGGATGAAAAAGACAACAGTGCAGAGCCTCAAGCCTCACCAAACTTACCTGAAACAACCTCGTCTTCAAGAGGCCAAGCCGGAGACCAAAGTCCTGCACCGCCTTCGGAGCCCTCGGTGAAACCGACGAATGCTTCCATCCGCTCACACTCTTCCAAGGGTTCAACTGAGCACACTCCAGTTGCAAAGCGTGCGAAGCCACCGAATATTCTCACCGGCAAAACCATTCCCAAATCACCCTTGCGATCTCCAGGCAACCAGGACGTCAACCTACCAACGCCTACGGCCCCTAGTCCAACGCCGTTGGCAACTCGCCCGAAGATATCTATTCCGGTGCGACCCGCGAAAGCGAACGAATTTCCAAATCCAGAGCCCAAAAGCGCATTGTCCACTTGGTCTTCCCGTTCTGTTCTCTCTGATGATTCAGCAACGTCATACGGATGGTTGTCTCAAGCCTCACAACTTGCGCAGGGCAATGAACTCTTGAACAGGTACCTCACAACGCCTCCGAATGGGCCCATATTTGATGGCCAAGCATCGAACTCAGAGGCTTGCTTCAGTCCGATCACTCCGTTTGATGAGATGGCTCCGTCCATGTTTCGGTCTTTCGAGCTTCCACCAGACAACGTTGGCATCAAGACTCTCCAGGATGATAAAAGCATGAGCGCTGGCTCGGACGTGGCAACCGATTCCAAGACTTTTCGAAAAGATGAGAAATCTGTCTCATTGTATCGCAGAGATGAGAGGCCGGTGAAGCAAAGGCGAAGCTCCGCCAGTCTTCGCACATCAACCACTCATTCCCCGGCGAGAAGAACCTCTAGTCGCAACTTGAGATCGAAGTTTAGCCAGCCCGATATGAGTGCAGAACACCGAAGAACAGGGAATTCGGCAGCCGTGTTGAGCAGCCCGGTAAAAGCTGATAAGAGAATCATTTCTGAAGACGAGCGCGGACTTTCGTCAGCCGGGCCGTCTCTGAATTCTCAGTCTCGCGTGTCCAATCGCGTCGATACGAGTTCGCCACAGAGCGCAACATCTCATTCGTCTTTGCAACACCTCGACTTCACGCCCCAACGGGACCAAGCCCCCCGTCGAACGCGGTCTCGGTCTGACGTCAAGTCACCGAGCAAAACCAGTGAAAGTCGACAGACTCAGCGTAGTGAAGCTCTGCGCTCAATCGTTGACGTCGAAAACGTTGCCGGGCGCCCTTCATCGGCCTCTCGCTTCAACGAGCGGCAACGACTGCAGCAACGAACCGGAAACGGTCAGAGCAGTCATCGAAGAACGAGATCGACGTCAGATAGAGGCTTGGGCGAAACACGCGGTTCCAACGTCTCTTACACAGCCACGGGTAATAACCTGCCAGCACGCCATGGAGTCATCCGCAACCAACAATCTGACATGGGCCTGAGAGAGCAGGCTCACATCTTCGGCAATGACAAACCAGGATTGCTGAATGGAGCAGGTGACAGGTCCATGGCTGAAGCGTTGCTTGGCTCGTCTAACTACAACGCCGGTTCATCGTCTTCAGCTAGCAATGGTAAGGCTGGCCCAAGACGTACACCCAACGCAGCTGCGAACATTTGGCGTCCGATCGAGCCAACGACTCCAACAGCTATGTCGGGACTGCGTGACGAAGCTCGCGTTGTTGGTTGATGGATTTCATATGGGACCCATGCGGTTTGCTCCGTAGGCGGTTTGCTCCGTAGATGCGGCACGGGCTGCAGAGTATGTCACCAGCTGGGTCTTGGCGGATACTGTTCAGGTGTGCCATTTTTGCTTCAAATTTTGCTTGAATGCCGTTTATTGAGATTTTTGAATTTGGAGGGTTTTGGAGTATGCGCAGACAATATGGGTTTTGGGAAGGGGGGATAATGGACAACAGCCAAGGTAGAAAAACGGACGGGTTTCAGCATTTGTGTTCTCGCGTTTGGCGTGCGGAGCTGGGAAATACGAGCTTTCTATGTGTTATGACATTTTCTATATTTCTCGACAATGGAAAAATTATGAGTCAAACGTCCCCGTCTATTGTCGGGTACCCTTCCCGTGTTCGAGACCGTCACAATCATGCGAGTAGTGGCCTTCCAAGGTTCCAAGCGGTTGATCAGGACTTGCGGCCGTAGAGGAGCGCTCATGATTGCAGGAACCGTACACTCGGGACACGAGTAGACTTTCTCATTTCGCCCGGGCTCCGTTCGACTAACCGCCGTGTTGATCAATACGAGCAAGCGATTCATCCGGCGTAGCCATTGTCCCACTGGAGAGCTTCGGGGGTGTCTTATGCGACGAACCTTCAACCCTGGCGAGTGGAATACCGAGGGGATGGCACCGGCGGTTGCGGATGCAAGAGAATGGGCTTCATAACATGAGCTGATGATCATATATGTATTTGCTCATGGGCGGGCAGCCTTTCTGGCTCTGGACTTTGAAGATGGTTGAAGTTGTTCAAGCTAGACAGGCACACTGAGTGACTAGCAGTTTGTTATCGATTGTGAGGCAGCTGTGAGGCAGCTGTGAGTCCATACAAGCTCACGAGGAGGGAGGGGATATTGAGGAACAGACCGGGGTGCCCATGTCCTTCTCCTCATTCCGGGCGGCTAAAGTTGTTTGTCCAACCACATTCGGCAGGCGACCGGCTCGCGCGATCGCCAATCACCGGGGCGGAAGGGGAGTCCCGCAGCGCAGAAGTTAGCTTTGCTGATGTGTGAAATAGAACAGGGGTTCGTGCAGCTCTAGCACCGTGACATCTGCCGTTTTCTGTAATCTGAGTGGCTGGGCTTTGCAGCAACCCTCTGGCCATCGGCGCCACGAGAACCAGCGACAGACCAGCAACTGGCAGCGATAGGGCGAGGAAACAGGATTGCAGTTTGCTTGCTGAACGGCCGCCGGCCACCCGCGCGGCGGTGAGTTTTGGTGCGGCCGGCCCAAAGCCTCCAACAAGGTCTTCCGCAGAGGGAGCTTCGCAGCTTAAGGTGGTGCCTACGCCTTTCTCTCCTGCGAGCTGACTCTTGGGGGTTGGCCTTTTCAGAGACCCCGAGGATCCCAAAGAGGCATGTTCTTGAGGTTCGTCCATGGTTCGAGGACACCACCATTGCTGTGCCACTCCAATACTCACTCTCGCCCTGGACCCCAATCACACGCATATCCTTGGCTCCGCCAACAACCAACACGCTGTTGGAACCGTTGTGCTCCGGCATATGGGGGGGCCTTTCGCGCCGACCTGCCACCTCTCGTCACAATCACAGTGATCCCACCTTCTCTCTTGCAAACACCGAAACACATATGAAGCCTTGTTTCGCATTGTCCACGATCGATGAGCCTTGCTTCGTCACATAGCGCATGTCACTGCGGATATTCGCATAGTGAATTCCATCGTCGCATAACCGTCTTCAGTACGGAAAGAACCCGTCAGACATCCGGCGCTCGCAGGCATGTAAGACAGACGTCTCGCCCCTCAGAAAACGGTCTTCAGCTGGGTCTTCCTTCAGAGACCTTGTGAATCAACATCTGCCGACTCACCGGTCGGACCAGCAATTTCGAAATCTCAAATCACTCTCGCTTTTTCTTTCCAAAGATGCGCCCTTCGACGGGTGTCCTTGTGCTAGGCCTCTGGCTTAGCCGGGTGTCGGCTATCCACGTGGCTAATGGTTCACCTTGCCAAACACTATGCGGCAACGTACTCGATGCGACGACCAAGAATGACGTTGTATGCGACGAGCATTCGTACTCCAGCAGCGCTGGTTCTGTCTACCAGCAATGTGTGTCTTGCGAGTTGACCAGTGACTTTGCGACTAGCACCAACGAGACAGACACGCAATGGGCATTGTGTAGGTGCTTTATCTAGGTTCCAGGTAGAAGAGTAAGCTGACCTTGTCGGTGTAGATAATTTGCGATACGCCATTTCGTACTGTACTTTTGGATATCCAGACAACCCAAATGTCGGATCGAGCCCTTGTCTCACAAGGTATGTCGAGCGGCGACTCCTCAGACTGTGACATTTAGTAACCATGAATAGGACTGCGTGCGAGCCACTGCAAAAAGCAATCACGTACAGTGATCTGGCTTCCAACGTCACGGAGTTTGAGTACTGCGATGTCTGGGATCATAACCAGGTCGCCAGCTGCTCATCGTGTCTCCGTGCGGGAAACAACAACTTCATCAACAACTGTGTGTATCGCAACGGCCCCGGTGCTAGCAGTTGACTAACAAGCTCCTAGTTCTTACCATCCTAGACGCGGGCTGCCAGCAAAAGCCTGTGCCTGGCACAACCATCTCTGTGGACGGGTCTCCATTCTCAAAAACTCGAGTCAACATCACGGAGCCAACGCCGACGAACACGTACGTCTCGGACTACAACAGCGGTCCCATCAGTCTCGGCGGCAAGGTCGGAATTGCGATGGGAGGCGTTGTCCTCATTCTTGTGGTTGCCGGTTTCTGCATCGTGTGGAACGGAAAGAGGAGACGCAGAGCATTCTTGAAGACGCTCGAAATGAAACAGCAGAGTGGCGGCGGTCGGTCCGGATGGCCAACACCGCTCAATACCAGTGGCATCGGCGGCACTCCCCTTAGCCAGAAGCCATTACGAACCTGGGACGCCTCGCCGCAGAGTCAAGGGCCTTCTCGTGGATGGGACGATTCACCCATGAGTGCCAATGGGGAACAACCGTACACGAGATACTTCTCTCCATACTCTTCTCAGTACAACAGTCCAGTAAGCGGTGCTGAGGCACCTGCCATGCAATGGCCGGTCAACGACGCGAACACCCAAAGACAACCTCAAGAGATCGGTCTCGCGTTCGGAGGTGATAGTCAAGAGCAGAGGTGGAATGACTCGAAAGGGAAAGAGCGATCGGAGTCGTACGAGATGAGGGATGTTGAGCCTGAGTGGGACGCCCGACAGAGATACCCAAGCCCACCGAATGTTCAGCAGCCGGCGCACACGGTCTATGCTGAACACAACCCGGCGGCCTATCACGGTCTAACAGAGGAGGACCTGCGGAGAGGATATGCTCTCTGATGCGCAATGTAAATGGTACTAAAGATATCGTGGGGTGGAACGTGTCGCTCCTTCTGCATCCAGTATTTGTTTGTTTTAGCGGGAGTTTGGAGTCGGCAATACCGATTGATTAGCATCAGCTTTTAAGGCTTAATAGCAGAACAGGCCTAGGCCAGCCTGCTAGCAATATATCTGAAATAATGTTAGAAGTTCATTGTGATGATTGATGTTCGAATGACACGATTGCTGGGTGTGAGTGATCGTGATTCTCAAGTTGAGGCTGTCGTCATTCGTCCCATTTCCCTTGTGGAAGTGTCGTTGACAACGATAACAAGCCACTTTCTTTGGTCGTTCAGTCCTTCCAAGTTTTCTTGCAAGATGGCTGGTCCCTGGTTGAGGAAGGCGGAACGGTGCAAGGCGCGTCCGCTGTGTGGCTAGGCGTTAGAGCGTGACCAATCGTGTTTGCTCAATGGCAACACCGCGCCACATTGTGGATCCAGACGGATTTTTTTGGCAGCTTCCACCCCACAGCCAGAGAAAAAAAATTTGGATTGGGAAGCTTCAAGTCCTCCAACACCACGAGACCTTCCATTTCGACGTTCACGAGCCAACGTCAGACACCCATTGCACCTGACACGCCTTTGTCGGTTTCGGTTCAATTCGGAAACAATGGCCATGGAGATTGTCAAGCACGGCGAGGAGGAGGAGTTCGCCATCAAGCCCCAGGCCTCTGTCCCTCACCTGGACACGAGCAGCTGGCCTCTGTTGCTCAAGAACTACGACAAGCGCAAGTTTTCTTCCTCTTCTTGGACTTGGAGCGACCGCTCGTCTAGATCATCACAAAAACAAATGACTGACCAGGCTTCTTGCAGTTCTCGTCCGGACGGGTCACTTCACCCCCATTCCGGCAGGATGCAGCCCTCTGAAGAGAGACATCAAGTCCTACATCTCTTCCGGTGTCATCAACCTTGACAAGCCCTCCAACGTATGTTTCTGTAGTCGCGATACTCTATATGTCGACAAGCAAACTAACAATTGAACAGCCCAGTTCCCACGAGGTTGTCGCTTGGGTCAAGCGTATCCTTCGGTATGCAATTCCCATTCCCTCGTTTTTGTGTTCGTGAAAAGCAATGCCCCGCGCCCAATCGTACGATTAGCCCCCGACCACGAAGACGAATTTCTCTACGGCAATGGCTAGCATAAAAATTTGGCATCGGTGGTGGCACCTGGTCAGCGAGTTTCGACGACGACAAGACGCATTTTGCAGATGGTTCCACACGATGCGATCGGGGACTTCCTGGTGAAAAACTTCCAACGACCTAGCGATCTGATGGTCATGGCCCAGACGAAAACATGGCAACAGCGACTAGCATATCATGTTTGGAAAGGTGCCAAATGCCATGGGAAGGCATGCCTCGCGAGGCAATCGTCGGAACTCGTTTGCCCGGACCACCATCAGACTGCGACGTCTTGGGACTGCGGATGCTGCCGTTGCCGTCTGTCAACCGAGAACATATACGATCGAACGATTTTGAGGGGCATTCGCTTATTTTTCAGAACATTCTGAGTTTTGTCGAGGAAACATCGCTAACCATGTTTTCTGTTGTGCAGCGTTGAGAAGACCGGTCACAGCGGTACCCTTGATCCCAAGGTCACTGGTGAGTCGCGTTCCCACATAACTGTCTCGAACGTGTTTTGCTAACTTTCTCAGGTTGCTTGATTGTTTGGTGAGCAGCAACCCACCAAAATCCGATGGAGCGTTCCACGAGAGAGAATTGCAACTGACGAAATTTTCCAGCGTCGACCGTGCCACCAGACTCGTCAAGTCCCAGCAGTCCGCTGGTAAGGAGTATGTTGCCGTCATCCGCCTTCACGACAAGCTGCCCGGCGGCAAGGTCCAGTTCGCCCGCGCTCTTGAGAGTGAGTTGATTCAAGAAACTCCGTTGCAACTGCCGAAAGTATTCTGACTCGCGATGCAGCTTTGACTGGTGCCCTCTTCCAGCGCCCTCCTTTGATCTCTGCCGTCAAGCGTCAGCTGCGTATCCGTACCATTCACGAGAGCAAGCTCATCGAGTTCGACAATGTACGTCGATCTGCTACAACATCGGGAAACAACCGCTGACCGTGTCTCAATCATAGGATCGCCACCTCGGTGTCTTCTGGGTTTCTTGCGAAGCTGGAACCTACATCCGTACCCTCTGCGTCCATCTCGTACGTCACATTGAATGTCGTTAATTCAGCCTTGTTCTGATTGCTTACATGGATTAGGGTCTGTTGCTCGGTGTTGGTGGCCACATGCAGGAGCTCCGAAGAGTGCGCTCTGGTGCCATGGGCGAGAGCAAGGAGATGGTTACTCTGCACGACGTGCTTGATGCTCAGTGGACCATGGACAACACCAGGGATGAGTCTTACCTGCGCAAGGTCATCTCTCCCCTGGAGACTCTTCTCACTGGCTACAAGCGTGTTGTGGTCAAGGACAGCGCTGTAAGTAATCCATTGCAACCCCTCTCCAAAACCCCTCACGGCCCGATGCGACTTTGTGGACAATGTCTCAGTCGCGTTAAACACATGAATCGCCGTTGCATCTGATATTGACGTACCTCACAGGTCAACGCTGTCTGCTACGGTGCTAAGCTTATGCTTCCCGGTCTTCTGAGATACGGTGAGTTGTCAACCCCACGATGTCACATATGATTGACATGCTGATCCGCTTTTGTAGAGTCCGAAATCGAGGTTCACGATGAGGTTGTTCTCATGACCACCAAGGGTGAGGCCATCGCCCTCGGCATTGCCCAGATGTCCACCGTCGAGATGTCGACATGCGGTAAGATGTCTCTCTTTCCATTGCAACCTTATGACTCCTTTGACTAATGGAAAATAGATCACGGCGTTGTTGCCAAGGTCAAGAGATGCATCATGGAGCGCGACTTGTACCCCAGAAGATGGGGTCTTGGTCCCCTCGCCTCCGAGAAGAAGAAGATGAAGGCCGACGGCAAGCTCGACAAGTACGGCCGTCCCAATGAGGCCACTCCCGCCAAGTGGGTGTCGGAGTACAAGGACTTCGGAGCTCCTGCTGGTGAGGCTGCTCCTGCAGCGGCGGCTCCGGCCACTCCCCAAAAGGCGGTGGAGTCTACGACAGCTACTCCCGTCGCAGTCACCCCTGCCAACGCCGAGGATGATGGCGAGTCCAAGAAACGCAAGAAGCACGAGGGCGAGACACCTGACGAGAAGGCGGAGCGCAAGCGTCGGAAGGCTGAGAAGAAGGCGGCCAAGGCCGCGAAGAAGGCAGCCAAGGGTGGTGCTGACGACGATGACGACAGCGAGTAAGCTCCTGCGAGTTTACTCACCTCGATTGGCTAAGATACCATGTGTTTGTTGGCAATGGTCGGTGGTTGGCTGTTGTATCATAAAAAAATGGCTTTGGCAAGTGGCGTTTGGCTCTGAATTTTTCTGTCTCTGAACATAGTGCGGACTGGCTGGATAGGAGTAGATAGGTCCTATACGGAAAGCAAAAGTGACGACTACTACTGTCGCATCAGTTCACGTTTTAACCAGGCTGTCACTGTCTCGACGTTATCGCAAACATATCAGGAGTTGTTGAGCAGAGGGTGTTGAAACAAAGGCACACGCACAACGCTGGGTAGGGACTTACGTACTCCCGGCAGCATCCCAGCGGGATTTCAGACTGCAGCACAGTTCGGGTCCCGGACCAACGTGGATCTCGTCCGAACGAGTTTTGTTTGGGAATCTCAGTCATAAACAGCGCCAATATACGTGTTCCGTCCTTCGTCCGAAGACGGGTTCCCTACCCTATCACTATCTACCTATCAACCATAAAGGGTGAGGGAAAAAATACAAGGAAGCATTGTCACCCAGCATGTCTCAGACCACATGCCTTGGCCAACCAAGGAAACAGCAGCAACTGCCACTGACCCTCCTTGATGCCTCGTAGAATTGGGTATAATGCAACCAAGAATACCGTGACCGGGTATAATTACTGGAGGTGCGGATCCCTTTTCAATGCTCCCCTGAGATGGCACTCGTGGCAGCACGTCACCCCCGCCTTTCTTTGTGTCTTGCCCTCTTTTTTTGTCGTTTCCTCGACGTCTTGAAGTCTTCCAGGCACGTGTATTGGGACCAAGTATGGATGCAAATCATTTCCCCCCTTCACAGCCCCCGTGCCCCCCGGTCTCCAGGATTAATGATTGCCGGTTCCTGTTGCGCCTCATCCCTCACGCCCTGCTTCGCCCATGCCCGATCAGCGGGGGCCGACACCGCCAGTGGAAGATCTCCCCGTGGACCTACAGAACTTACCCATACCTCCCACCCCGGTCACCGTCCGTCGCCTTGGGAAGGGGAAGGGAGAAGAGCCACTACCGTCATCCCGGTCAACCAAAGTACATCCCGTGTGGCACCGCGGTCTGAACCCAACTCCCAAGTCACCCCAAGAGCCTCCTTTCCTGCCCATGACGACGCGGGAGTCGGGACAACAAGGATTAACTCTATACCAAGGGTACAGTCTCTTATGTGGCTGCGCTCTAGAGGAATGGGGCGGAAGACGGGTGCCGGAATCCTATGCATGCTATGCAAATCCTTTTTTTTCTCCGATCTGGGCAAATTTTCTACCTGAACGTGGACTAGGAGAGTTGATGTAAGAACTATTGGATTATCGTGGGGAGGAAGCCTAACAGGATGCTATCTGACCACCCCGACATTCCCATCTGACGCGCGCCGAGCCCTAAGAGTGTAAAAATTGATCTTCCCAGCAGAGAAAAAATAGGAAGAAGGGATTTCAATGCCGGGAGAGAGGTTCTAGCTTCGGGTATCCGGTCGAGGAGTGAGAGAAGGGCGCAAGTGTGAAAAGCTGCCACGCACTTTGACGACACACACCCCCCCCGGCCCACCTGTTTCAAGCATCATCTGCTTTGACGTGCCATGGAACAGAGCCCACCACAAGCCGTGAGAGGTATCCTCCTCCTGCTACTTGCTCCAGCTCAACGATCTCTCCACACGCATTTGTAGTGATAATCTCATTCCTGCATAGCTGAGAGCTGGGCGCAAGCTTAGGAGCAGAGCAAGGAAAAAGATTCCCCAATGTACATGTTTCCGGCCAAGGGGAAGGGGGGTTCGTCCTCTTACACACCTACCCACACACACTCGCGCACGCATCAAACTCGTCAGTCTCTTCTTCGGGGTGTAAGCTGTAGATTGTATGTGTATGTGTATGTGCTTGTTTTGTTTGACTACAAGAAGGGCCCTTCGTCCGCACGATCCTCGAAACCGTTTTCCTTCTCGAAGTTCGCTATGACACTCATGACGGCAGCACTTTGCTTATGAAAAGTAATGTGTACTCAGTAATTGGATTCTAATAGACCTGTTCCAATTCCTTTCCTCAAAGAGTACAAACAACCCAGAAACCCTACCTACCACACGCGGAAAGACCCCTTCTCGTCATCAGCCCAGGGAAAAGACTCTCCTGTTCTTGGACGCGAAGTCTTTGGTCTAGTTCGTCATCTGTTTTGCACTGTTGTGTGTGTTTGTATCACACACGCCCCTCTTATACATAATTGTCAATATTTATTATACCCCAGAGCGAGAGAGAGAGAGACAGAGAGATATACAGTCGCAATGCTTTCAACAACATCACTACGGCAATATGCCATCCTCGCAGCAGGCATCTTCAGTCTAGGAGCTTTCCAGCCCGTCCTCGGCGCACCAGTAGACGCTCTCTACGTCGTCGGCCGAGACGACAAGGTCCTCACGCCCAAGATCAACACCGACTTCCCAGACCCGGCCCTCGTCCAGGGCGACGACGGGCTCTGGTACTCCTTCGCGACCAACGGCAACGGCAAGAACATCCAGGTCGCGAAAGCCACGCAGATCTCCGGCTCCTGGGAGCTCCTCGACAACGACGCCCTCCCCAACGTCGGCTGGGCCACGGGGTCCAACACCTGGGCGCCCGACGTGCGGAGGCTCGACAACGGCAGCTTCATCATGTACTACTCTGGTGAAGTCAAGGACGGCGGCGGCCGGCACTGCATCGGCGTGGGCATTTCTGATATTGTCACGGGCCCTTACAAGCCGACGTCGGAGCCGTGGGTGTGTCCGTTTGACCAGGGCGGCGCCATCGACGCTGCCGGGTACTACGACGAGCCGACCAAGAAGCGCTACGTGGTGTACAAGGTGGACGGCAACAACGTCGGCAACGGGGGCGACTGCAACAACGGCGTCGAGCCGCTCGTGGACACGCCCATCATGCTCCAGGAGGTCGAGGCGGACGGCATCAGTAAAGTCGGCGACCCGGTGCAGATCCTCAGCCGGACGGCGGCCGACGGCCCCCTGGTGGAGGCGCCGGACCTGGTGCGCACCGAGGACGGGCTGTATGTTTTGTTTTTCAGCAGCTTCTGCTTCAACTCGAACAACTACAACGTCAACTACGCGACCAGCAGGAACATCAAGGGCCCCTACCAGCGGCCGTCGAGGATGCTGCTCAAGACGGGCGACTTCAACCTCACGGCGCCCGGCGGCGCGACGAGCGTTGCTGGGGGCGGGCAGATGCTGTTTCACGGCAACTGTCCCGAGACTTCGCCTCAGCGGTGCATGTATCAGACGAGTTATTCGGTTACCGGCAGAGATGTCATCATCAGTTAAGAAGGCATGAAACAGAAAGAGACGACCTGAGAAGTAGAGGGAGTGAGAGGGAGGCGATTAATGACAACAGTAATCATATTTGATGCATGCTGGTTTTGGTTCGTCGAGGATCAACAGCCGGCAACGAAAAAGCGTTTGGACATGTTCAGCGATGCAAGAGAGGGAATGCAAGAATGCATGCACAGCCGGAAGTCTAATCCGGGGTTTGGATTTTGTTTTTGGGGCGTGTTTCTTCTCATCTGCGGGCGTTTGGATCACATCAACATAGCGACTGGAGCTTTGAACACACACCCGTTTTATGAGACAAACGAGAGAAGAGAGAGAGAGAGAGAGACGTGAGAGAGAACAATGAGAAAAGGGTGTTACACCACACCAGGGAGTCGGAATGAACGGAAGGAACGTCGCACGATGACGGGTGAATCGGAATCGAAGGCGAGAATACAAGATATTGGGTTTTCCTTTTAGTTTCTAGTTTTGGTGAGATATACGAATCACGAACTCCCATGAATCCGTATTCAGAAAAACACTCGAACACCTGAGTGATGCAAAAGTGACAAGCTTTCAGAGGTAAAAAAAAGTTCGGCTCAGTAAGACAAGACAAGGTGACAACAGAGTTTTGCCAGGGGTGTAGAGGGAGTCCGAGGAAAAGAAGCTCATGCCAGCAAGGAACCCATGGGGAATTGGGTGCGGCATGCTTAACACGCCCCCTAATAGCAGACGTCTGGTAAAAGGGTTGTCAACCAAAAAGGGAACTCTCTCGAGATAGACAGGCCGGGATCTGGATGGTTTCCGTAAAGGCATTGAGATTGGAAAAGCGACCGGGGTAGTGTGTAGTTGTGGCTGAAGGCTGAAGGGCCAAGGATGGAAAAGGGAGAGATGCTTCCTCCGTAGAGTGATGGAGAAGGGAATGAGAGAAAAGGGAAAGAGCATTGACGAGACCCAGAAGTGATCGCCAACGAGCGACAAGCCAAGTACCGCGGTACCTTGGCCGGACCCCCTTGTCCACTTGGGTTCCGCAGTGGAACCGGCTGGGCCGGGCTCACGGCTTTAAGTGGAGACTGCAAATGCCCTGGTAGAAGGAGCTAAAGGAAACCAACAATGGAAGGCAAGCACGCAGGCATAACGGGAACCAACTGCCACAGGTGCCAGATGTAAGCGCCGAACTACGCTGACTGTCACTCACACTTTCAACCTAACGCTCCAACACTCCAACAGAACTGACCTGACCAACCAGATCATTCGCCAAACGCCGTGTTCCCATTGGCACAATGATTCCTCCCATTCCTGCCCCCATCTGCCAATGCCCATGGGTGCATCTCGCAGCCGCCCGCCATCATCACTAACATTGCACAATGCATCCCACCAACGCCAGGCACAGGCACAAGCACACTCGCGGCCACACGCGGGCACACATACGCACAAAATCGTCAGGGGAAAAACCACACTATCGATCGCTTGCACCACCGTATTGGGGGCAGATGGAGAGATGGCGCATGCCGTCCGGCGGCCACTAACCAAATACACGTTGCGGCAGACCAACAAGCTACCGCCCTGAGGTGTATCGCCCTGCACACCGTCCTGCGAGTGCTGGGAAGTCTTTAGCGCTCTGCCGTCTTCCTCATCGCCTGTTCACCTGACGAGCTTTTTCCAACGGGGAGATAATGCTCTCTCACCTCGTCCGGCAAACGGCGTCTATGGAGTCCAGTTCTACACGACTGCACAAGTCGAGAGTCCACCCCAACTCCCCGCCCCCTCCATCACTTTATAACCGTAATCCTCGGGAACCTGCGCAGGCCTATTATTGGCCGCCTCGATCCGACATCACCACACCCTCTGCCGACGCCGACACCCATCTCGAACCGTGGTCGAGCAGATGGGCGGCAGGACGACGGGCCCGTCTCCGGCTTGGGACGCCGCTCTTCACTCTATCTGGCTGCGTTTGCCAAATGCCTGCCACTCCATACCTCTTACTGTGTATCTTTCCCCATACATTCGGGATCACATCCCATGGGCCCTGCGAGCTGCAGGCGACTCCAGACCATCACCTTACCATTCCAGACCATCCTGTTCCTGCATCTGCATATGGCCCCCCCCGCCCCCTGCTCGAGTGAATGGTGGAGATGGGATCAGCGTCTTCTGCGAGATATATCACCTTGCTCTCCCACCTTGACTTGAGAAGCAGTTACTTCCTTGCTAAACTTATTCCAACTGTGTGTGTGTGCAATTGTTTCGTTTGTGTTCTTGGCTTACACTGGGCGATATCTAATACCATTTCTCGAGATATCAACTCTCTATTCTACGATCTTTTACCTAATTACAGTTTGCAAGGCTCTGGAGTCTTTGCTCTGCTCTATTTCGACTACACTCATTAATCCCTGTCCATCCGGCCGCAGCTCACAATGGCCGCTCGATCCGCCCTCCTTCTCCTCACCACAATCGTACCAGCCTGTGTATCAGCACTCCAAGTTACGCCCAATTCGCCATGTGCGTCTTTCTGTCTGGACTCCAACGGCCTCGATGCCTCGGACCCCAACTCATCCAACACCAAGGGCAAGGACATTACTTGTGTGGACGATGATTACAAAACAGGGGCCGCCGGACAGAAATACCAGCAATGTTTGAGCTGTCTTCAGGACAGCACCTTTGTTCAGGGCAGCGAGAACGATCAAGACTGGTTTCTGTGTAAGTCTTACAACAATCACACTTGCGGACAAGGGGTACTGACCAATACCGTCAGACAACATGAGGTACTCTTTCGACTACTGCATCTTTGGGTACCCCAATGCCACCGGCGTAGGCTCCAACCCCTGTCAGACGTCAACGGCATGTGGCGCGTTAGAGGCTGCTCTCACAGATGGTGAACTGGACCCAACAAAGTCATCACAGTACGCCTATTGTGATGCAGACGGCGGCGCCATGCTCGGCTCAGCCTACGACAAGTGCCTATCGTGTGTCAGAGCGGGTGGTGAACATTACTATCTCTCAAACTGTAAGTAACGTCTTGGTCAACAGCATTCCCTCGCAGGCACGCTTCTAACATACTGCATAGACCTCGTTGCCCTTGGAGCAGGCTGCCAGCAGAGACCAAACCCAGGCACTTTAGTCGGCCTCAACGACACCGTCTTCACAAAGGGCATCATCACCGTCGTCGACCCAAAGGATGCGGCAGGTGCCGACAAGACTGAATCTCACACCCTTCCCATGACGGCTATCGTGGGCATCGTCATCGGAGCCATCGTAGCACTCCTCCTAGCTGCCGGCTGCACCTTCATTCAGTGCCGCAAGCGCAGGGCGCGCAGACAAGGCCGCGGCATCAACCCAGAGCTCTCTCGCCGCGCAAAGGGCCATCGTCCAGCTTCATCTCTCTCCTTCCGTTGCCAGACGCATCTCACGCCAAAGGCAGCAAATTTCTTCTCCGCCGAGGAGGAAGAGGCACAAAACGAAAAGCATTACTACGAGTCCATGCATCAGCAACAACAGCAAGACATGGCCCCTAGCCCCGTATCAAAACCCAGCCTCTGGATGCCACACAACTCCATCACCTCCTTCACAGCCGCAGACCACATTCCCTACACCGACAAGAAGCCCTCGCAAAAGGAACCCCTAACCCTCGCAAACATCACAACAAGCCTCCCCATCATCCCCGTAAAAGCACACTCACCCAAATACAACATGGCCTCCCCGCAAGACGAGTACGCCACCCCGACATCAACCACCTCCGCCGCGCCCCTCCTCTCCTTCAGACCCTACGTCCCCTCAGAGCACGGCTTCTCGACCCCGTCAATGGGCAACGCGGCAACCTTTAGCCCGTCCACCACCTACGCCTCCCCGACCTCGGGCACGACGGCGAGCCCCTTGCTAAGCCAGGCCGGCTGGCCTGCGCCTGCGCCTGCGCATAACCGGCACATTCACACCGAGTCGTCGCCGCCTCCGTTGGTATCGGACGCGTCCAAGACCATCCCCGGCATCGTGCGGGATCTGGCGCGGCCGTTGCCAAAGAGGGTTACCTCGTTGGGAGGTAGCCCCGTAGAGAGCTATAAGATCCAGGTGGCGTTCCCGCCGCCGCCTCCGCACAAAAAGAGATAGTTGTCAATGTTTAAAGCTGTCAAAAGGGGGTCTCCCTCTGATTTCATTTGTTACAAGTCACGGTCGGTAGCGAGTGGCGTTTAGGAGCAAATCTACAAGACGATGGAATAAGTGGGCACCGAAACACAAGGTTCATCATACCCAATACCAGACAGTAATACCAATTCCATACATACATCTACATTCTCACTTCACTTCACTTCACTTCACAAATTTAAAGTCCTCATGAGTGTGCATGCACTTCTCATATACACGAGAACGTAGTAATCCAAACAAGTCTCTTCTATGGGTATTCGTAGCCCGTGTTGTTTTTTGTGTACCTTTACAAAGACGAGAACTACTAGTGGGAGGAAAAAAAAGAGTGCCCTTCATACTCCACGCCCAAGAACATAACCCTTGAAAACGCCAATGCTGATGCATATCGTACGTACTCCGTCCCCCAGTCTACCGTCCCTTTCATCGATGACCGCTTTTCCCCCACGGCGAGCTAGCCCTGCTCGCCTCCTCCGCGTGCATCATCTCGTTCTGTTCCCTGAACCAGTCCGCCCCTTCGTCGAGCTCGATCCTCGAACTCCTCAACGATTCCAGATTCTCCCTCGCCTCCCGGAGTATCCTATCAATCTCCGCATTGCTCGACGGCCGCTTCTTGACCCGCGTGGCGGCTTCGTCCGCGACAGCAACCTCGTTGTCGTCGTCATCGAGAGCCCGTTTCCTCTTACTAAGCGGTGAGATCCCGTTGACTTGCGATAGGGCAGCAGCGCTGCCACTGCCACTGCCACCGTTGAGCGACTGCGAAAAGCGTAATCGGGCCTCGGCTGCGTGGTTGAGATCCGCCGAGACGCTCCGCCGTCGCTCCGTGGCGTCCAAGCCGAATGACCCGAGCCCTGCATATCGTTTCCCATTGTACCGCATCTCGTTTGCGATGGTCTCCGGCAGCGCTGTTCCGTCGGGCATCGTAACGAGCCCCATCGCCTTCAGACGCCAGCGGTCAGACACTTTGCTAACGCGCTTCTGCGGCTCTGAAGACAGTCGTGACGACGAGGAGTGGGCAGACATGGGAGGCAGTGATCGTCGGAAATTGGTAGCGCTCTTGCCAAACTCTTCCCGTATGGCCCGCGTTTTCGCGCCGCGGGACTTAGCGCCCGTAGTCGACTGCGATAAGGCTGTTGATGAGCGAGATCGAGGTAGTGGCGTGTTCGTCGCAATTGTCTCCATCGTCCCTGGGGCCCGAATGACATTGGCGGCTGCGATTCTTTCGTTCGAGACACCCGACAGGATGCCGGTCGCTAGCAAAGCCTCTGCTTCGGCTTGCAAGTCGGCTTGTGTGCCGTCTTTTCTGAGCTGAAGGAGCTCTCTGAATTCCTCCACAGGATCGAAACCGTTCCTCTCCAAAGCCCTTTTCTTTGCCTCGGCAACTTTGGCTGCCTTCTTCCTCTGCCTGATCTCTTCCTCCCGTTGTTCCCGCTGAACCCTTCGGTACTCCTCCCTTTCTTGTCTGCGAAGCTTGGTGAGGCGAAGGTTTCTAGCGATTTCCCTCCATCGGTAGAAGTACTTGACTGATAGGTTGTAAACCTGAAACTTCCGAGCTTCTGCCAGATCCCTCTCCTCTTCCTCTCTTCTCTTCCTTTCCTCTTCCTCCCTGTGATACTGTTCAAAAGCGGCCGAGACGAGCTGCTCAACCATGTATTTCTCGAACTCTTGTATCAGCCCGTTGTCTCCTGTAACGAACCATTTCGCGAAGTCGGCCATAACATCTTTCTTGGACCGCTGCTTGACGGGTGGAGCTTGAGGAGGCTTTACTTGGGCGAGCGGTGAAGCTGCAGGTGGTACAGGAGAGGCGATAGCTGGAGGGAAGCTCTGCTGAAGTAAGGGCGCGGGCTTCACGGGTTCCGAACTAGCCCCTTGGAAATTGAAGGATGGTAATGGGGATTGCCCGGACCCGGTTGTAGAGCTAGTGGGTGTCTGAGAGAGAACGGACGGAGGTAGGCTAGGAGGTTGATTCGGTGGAGGTTGAAATGTTGTAAAAGGCTTTGCCGGCTGAGCGGGAGCCGCCGCGCCTGCCGAGAAGGAGGGTAGCTGTGGGGTCACAGATGATTTCGGAGTTGGCTGGAAGGGACCGCTAGTGGTAGCATTCGGAGCCCCAGACTGCACGCCTGGATTTGATGGGAATTTGAAAGGCGCTGACGACTCTGCGGCTGTGGTTGACGCTGGCAATGGGAACTTAGGTGTTGGCGGAGTGACGGTGATGGCGGGAGAGCCATCTGTCGAGGCACCTGGTCGCGCTTGCTCCGGTGCTTTTGGTTGTGCGCCGGTGCCGAAGGTCGCAGGAGGGAAAGCCGGTGTACTCGAGGCTTTGGGTTGCGAAGTGCCATTTGGTTGATTCAGCGACCCGAATGGGTTGTTGCTAGGCGTCGCGCTCTCTGCTGCAGCGTCTGATTTGCCAAAAGGACTTGTCTTGGCGGCAAATGGATTCAGAGCTGGCGCTGTTGTTGCCGACGATGACGAGGCCGGACCGCTTTGTTGGACAGGGGATGCACCAGTGGAAGGTGACGGACCGGTTGAAAAGGGGTTTCCAAACGGGCTGGAATTCGTTGAGGTAGGCTTGGGGCCTTCGGTTGCTGTGGGACACAATGTTAGCAGATTTCCGGCTTGGTTATGCCTACCCTCTACGTCTTGTGCCAATGACAATCCACCGCTAGTCATCTCGTCCTGATTGTGAATACGATTTGAGCGCTTCTCAACCTCTGGAACGGCTGCCAGTCGATCAGCCGCACCAAGTGTTGTCAAGTCTGAAATCTGGCAATGTGACGTTCGATCTTGACTGAAGAGAAATGGTTCGGCGGAGGAGAGTCGCAATGAATCTGACGTCGACGACGGTGCTGGCAGGCAAGCGGCTACAACGGTATGGGTAGTGTGTGGAAGATTCTTTACCTTTGTCGAAAGACGGCGCACCCGTAAGTCCCGTCGAGGTGCCTCCTTGGGGTGCTGAAAAAGGAGACTTGAAAAAAGGAGAGTCTGCGTTCGTTGCTGAGTTGCTTCCAAAAGGAGCCTGCGGTGGAGGCGCCTTGAACGAAGCTGTTCCCGTCGAAAATCCTGTAGGGGCCATTTGGCCAGCGCCCGTGGATTCGTCGGCTATTGTGCGGTGGATGATCTCAGGGAGACTACGAAAACCTCGTTTTCTCTCAACCAGTCTCTGAGAGAAACTGTGATGAATTCTCGGCCATGTCATGCGTTGTGAGGTATCCAGATATCGTACGGGCTCGCCCGCTGGTCCTTGTCCATTCGAGAAGCTGAGACCATGCTGCTCGACAAACTCAATCGCCTGATCTTCTGTATCAAAATGAAGAAATCGGTTTAGCGATGAGGGCGTGATGTCTTTCGCCCCATGCCGTGGTCTGGTGTACGCCTTCTTCAATGAGCGAAGAACTGAGCGGCGCAGCTGACCTAAGTGAATCTCTGCGAAACATGCCATTGTATAAGACACTTCTCGGCTTTGGAGGATTCTAAAGTAAGTGAGGTGTGCACCCGATGTTGCCATGGACGGGCCCGAGCCCAAAGGACCGTGGAAGTCCTCTGCGCTCTGCAGACTCTCGACGAGTGAGACAGCTGTTCTGATGGTATCGGATTCGGTCCAGAAGCGAGCGTCCCCCCATTCCTTTTGCACGTTGTCGAGGATATTGGGAGTATTTGCGCTGAAAAGCAAATGGTACGCCCTGAACTCGGCCTCATTTTCGCAAACAACACCTTGCGGCTTGCAATCGTCGTAAGCAAACATGAGAGAAAGCAGCGCCTTTCCCAGCTGCTCAATTTCTTGCTGTTCCGAGAAGTCTTCCGGCGCAAATCCCTCTTGAGAAAGCAAATGTAAAGCTGTAACATGGAATCTGGCGATTGTCTCGAGACAGTAAACTTGATCCTTCATCTCCTCGGGGGACATTGTCGAATGAAAGATAAAGTCTCTGCGAATTGCACGTGTTCTATCCCATAGAAAACCATGCGAAGAGGGCAACTTGTCGTCAATCGGTAGAAGATCGTCGATGAGGTAGTCGAGCGTCCTCCTGAGGGCGGCTGTGGATCGGACATCCATGGGTAACGGAGCCTCCTGGCCAGCAGCAGAGCGCGCCAACTTCTTGACCATTTTTGATGTGTTGGCGAAAGTGGTTCGGGGGTCCTTTTCGGCAGACTGAACGTCGAATTCGGTGATGCGAGTAATTTTCTCGAAGTCGGGGCACATCGCGTCGCAGATGCCTTTGAAGTCAATCGCGTCTTCCAGCCGCTTTGGCTTATCGGGATCGTCAATCAAGCCGGCGCGCATCAATGACGTCCTAGCCCGATCGCGATATGTCTTATATTCTTCCCTGAACTTGGCCATGGCGGCCTTGGACGACGTATTTCCTGGATCTGACGGCCATTTTGGCGGTGCGATTCCATCCTGCCGTAATTGCGAGAATATTTTGTCGGAGTACGCAGTGCCGTCGCCATTCAATTCGCCATTCGCATCGTCTGTTTCGTAGTCGGTAGATCCCGAGCTGTGATTGTTGTTGTTGTTGTTGTTGTTGTTGTTGTTTTGGTTGCCGAAACCACCGCGCGACTGGGTGGTTCCAAACCCTTTCGGCGCCTTCGCGCCATTTGGCTTCGCGCCTTGCGCCTTGAGACCTTTCTTCTTCCACTCGCCCTGTGAATCTCCCTTCGTGTTTTTTCGTCGTCGATTATCGTCTGAGCTGGCGCCATCGAACGGGTTGACGCCCTTCCGCTTTGTCGCAGGAGTTGTCATGTCGGGAGGCTGGTTATTCAAGTTGCGTGTCGACCGCTGCCCACCGCCGGCGCTCGCCCCATTGAGGCCGAGAACGTTTTTGCTCACGTCAGGCCGACTCCCAAAGCCACCAGTCGATGTGCCTCCGAATGGCGATAGCTTCCTGTCGGGTCTGCTTGGAGGGAAAGAGACCGACGTCATGTCGGGTTCGCGAAAGGAAACTCCAAGAAGGAAACCACGAGGCAGGCAAGAACCAAGTGGAGAACTAGGATGGAGCTGGTCTGCGTTTGCCGCGTTTTTTTCCCGGCGCGTATCGCGTTTAGCGGCGTTTAGAGCCAGCAAAGCTATGACTCCCATCTGCGTTCCACTGAGCCAGGGGTGTGAGAAGAATAAAGACACGCCCTCTTTGTTTGCGTTGAACTCCTCAGGGTTCTATGACGGCGGGAGCATTCTTCGCAGGCACTTTCGGGTGTTCCTTCCACAAAGGAAGTATCGAAAAATATTCCCAGCGACAAAGAATTATTTTGTTCAAGGAAGCAACAAATGTGAATCACTGAACGGAATATCATTAGTCCAGGGACTGCAGGAATTCAGCATGTGGCAGAATCTCAGATCAAGTTGAAGAGGATAGTGGTTCATAAAACATCAATTTGTTTATCATAACATTATGGGGCGCAGATCTCATGCAATCTGGCGCTCAGTGAGGGTATCTCGATGACCGGAATCTAGGTTACGCCGAATGCTTCTGTATCTAGGCGCAAACAGACCTAAACCCTCTTGGTGTTGAGTGAACGGAACCGCGCTGGGCCAAGACCCTGTCTAATCTCGTCCAGTTGCTCAAGACCAGTCTGCGGCCTATTCTTCTTGTTTGTCCGCTTTCCAGGCTTAGTATAGCTGCCCAGGAAATCATCCATGATACTGTCAAAGTCGCCTCTGGTGGGTCCGGTCACACTAGTTGCCGTTGATACTTCCGAGACAGATGCCATATCGTCGCCCATCTCATTTGTGTACTCCTCCTCAATCTTGTCGAACCTGGCATCCAGAAGGGTGAGTTGCTCCGTCCTGACCATGGCCGATGAGGTCATGGAGAAGGCCGAGGGGTTGGTCAACGCTCCCTTTCTCTTCTTCTTCCGGCCACCCATCGTTGTAGTGGTCCAAATGGAGGACTGCAACTCGGAAGGAGTCTCTTTAGCCGGCTGGACCTTGCCGCCCCTTTGGTCTTTCTTGAACTGCTTAAAGTCCTCCATCCAGTCTTCGTTCTGGTGTTCCGGTAATGCCTCCCCGTCAACAGGGACCAGCTGTGGCACCGCTTCCTCCTTGTACTCCTTATTCGGCTTTGCAGTGTCGTCTGATTCCCAACCCTCATCTTCGTCATCGTAGCCGTATTGATCCTCGAATTCGTACTGATCGACTTCACGCGAGTCCTTGGAAAGCTCTTTGAAAATGTCGTCATCATCATCCACATACGCGTCGTCCTCCAATGCCTCCAACACTTCCCTCAAGCGGGGGTCCATATCGGGCTGGAATCCAGCGATGGCATCGGGGATGTCCACCTGTGTCTCGTAGTTGGTGCGCGGCAGGTTTCTGTTGGGAAGGACCGAGGGATCCAGCAGATCCTCGCTCTTGTGCTGCAGATCCATCTGGCGCAGTGCATCTTCAAGTGATTGCGCCTGCTTTCCTTTCCTGTCGTTGTTTGCCGCACCCGACGCCTCGACCCAGACAGCCTCGCCACCTCCCGAGTTCAAGCCGCGCAAATGCTGCATGTAGTCGTACTCAGTGTCATCGTAGTAAACGCCGTATTCTGCCGCCTCTCCTTCGTTTGCGCGTATGTTTCCAGCTTCTGATCCGAACTCAGATGCAAGGTCGCTCAGATGCTTGCTTTTCGACGGTCCACCCTTCTGAGGCACCGGGTTGAGCACCATCGAGGGCGCATTTTCGTCGTGGATGAGGGGGTCATTTTGCGGTCGGTGGACGAGGGTGAAGTGCTGCGCACTCTTCTTGTCGCTGAAAACAAAAGTCAGCTATCAAACCTGGTAGTTATTCAATCTTAACTTACAATTTCTTTCCCTTCGCCATCTTGTTTAATTTGGGGTCTCTCGCGGTATGGTATACTGGCTTGTTGAATTGACAGTTGGGTGCGCAAGAGGGAGAGATTCAGTGGGACGCACAGATGAGAGCCCCGCGGTCGCAAAAAAAAATCTCTTATCGATAAACGCCTAAAATCACTTTTTTGCCCCGCTGATTAATAGTCGCGGGGCACTGCTATTCTCTTCAAGGCGGGCACTTGCGACGGCTCCCACTATTACTCATTCTGATTCACAAAGCAGCTTTGGGGAGTCGTTTCTTTCCACTGCGCATTTTTCACCCCATTTTCCAAAGTAGCGAGAGACGATATATCACCGCGAAAATGGTGCACGCCAAATCCAAGAAGACCGCCGGGCTGGGCAACGCCCTGATGAACGACCGCTTTGGAAAGGGTCGTGGCGCAGACAGGAAGAAGAGTACCATCACCAGAGTGAACCACGCAACAGGAGAAGAGGTAATGAGGCAACGCCGGAGTCCTTTGCCCCGATATTTGCCAGATAAACACTCACACTTTGCTAGTATCTCACGAACGAGCGACAAGAAGCATCATGGGTCAAAATGCGATCGGTCACCGAGCAAGGCGCTCTCGACGAGTTCCTCGCGACCGCAGAGCTGGCGGGCACGGACTTTACGGCGGAGAAAATGAACAACGTCAAGATCATCCATACCGACCAGAAGAACCCGTATTTGCTTTCTGGAGCAGAGGAAAGGGCCATCATTGGCAAACAGAAGGCTCACAGAGGACGCTTGACAGTGCCGAGAAGACCAAAGTGGGATGCGTCCACCACACCGGAGGAGCTGGACAGACGGGAGAGAGACAGTTTCCTTGACTGGCGACGAGGCCTCGCCGAACTTCAGGAGAACAACGATCTGCTCATGACACCGTTCGAGCGTAACCTTGAGGTGTGGAGGCAACTTTGGCGTGTCATTGAACGATCAGACTTGATTGTTCAGATCGTCGATGCCAGGAACCCCTTGCTTTTCAGATCCGAGGATTTGGAGCACTACGTCAAAGACATCGACTCGAAGAAGGAGAACCTACTGCTGATTAACAAGGCCGACATGCTCACGCTGACGCAGCGTAAGATGTGGGCAAAGTACCTGAAGGAGAACGGCATTGCGTACAGATTCTTCTCTGCGCATCTTGCGAAAGAACTGCTTGAGGCCATGGAGAGCGACGACGATTCTGAGGAGGAAGAACCGGAGGCTGGCAGCAGCTCCAAGGCTGCCACGAAGGATGCCGCATCCGCTGAGGAGGAGAGCTCAGAGGAGGATGAAGAAGAGGAGGAGAAGGATGACAAAGAAGAGGGCGGCGCAGAGACCGCTCAGCCTGAGGTCTCGCAGCCGGAGGCCGAGGTCGACGTTGACGATGAGGATACGAGAATTCTTACAGTCGAGGAGCTGGAGGATATCTTCCTCAGCCACGCTCCCGAGAACGCAGGTATGATGAGACAATCCAAAACGTGATTTGGATTGGGTACTGACGACGGGTGAACAGAGCCTGGCCACAAGCTGCAGATTGGTCTTGTCGGATACCCTAACGTCGGAAAGTCTTCCACCATCAACGCCTTGATTGGTGCCAAGAAGGTGTCAGTTTCATCAACACCAGGAAAGACCAAGCACTTCCAGACAATCCACCTCAGCGATAATGTTGTCCTGTGCGATTGCCCTGGTTTGGTCTACCCCAACTTCGCAAACACCAAAGCCGACCTGGTTTGCAACGGTGTGTTGCCGATTGATCAACTGCGAGAGTTCCAGGGCCCGGCCGGCTTGGTCACCAGGAGGATACCCAAGTCCTTCTTGGAGGCAGTCTACGGAATTAAGATCAAGACCCGCGCTATCGAAGAGGGAGGCACAGGCACTCCTACGGCTCCGGAGTTGCTCCGCGCATACGCAAGAGCGAGAGGTTTCCAGACCCAAGGATTGGGCCAGCCTGACGAGTCAAGAGCTTCTCGTTACATCCTCAAAGATTACGTTGCCGGAAAGCTCCTGTACTGCGAGCCGCCACCAGGAACAGTCGAGGGCCCAGAGTTTAACGCAGAGCTCTATGACGAGACGCATCTCCCCGAGAAGCGCCGTCGGGCCCTGAGCACGTCTATGGACACCATGTCCATTGTCGACGACGATATTTCGATAGCTCCCTCGGACCTGGCAGCTCTGCCGGCTGGTCCCAAGTCCAAGCAGATTGACAAAGGATTTTTTGGCCCCAATAGCAGTGGCGGGCACACCAAGATGCCCTTCAGCCACAAGTACACGGAGCAGGGCCAGAAGCACTTGAGTGGAAGAAAGGCAAGGGCAATGATTGCCCTGGAGAGCGGAGTCGACCCCAAAGACGTGAAGCTGTCGTCCGGAAAGAAGCACTTTAAGGGAGGTGCGAAGACCAGGAAGGGTAAGAAGAAGGCCGATGAAGACGACGACTAGATACCTTGGATGAACAAAATGCAACGAAAAAAAAAGTTGAATGCCTTGATGTTACCAGTACTTTTTTGAGGAAATGCGTGAAAGGTTTCATGATGCAATAAAATCGTGAATGAAGATCGGAATTGTGTCTGCGTATTGAAGCTCTGGAGGAGAAACATCTCAGGACTGACAAGAAGTTTGTGAGATGTCGGTGAGGTTGAATGCTGGAGAATACCTAGTCAGGAAAGACAATGGAAGGGTGGATCCCAGAGCAGTTTAGCGCGTTCCACACCCGACGCGTCTTTTCGATGAGCATCGCGTAAAGTGCTTCCGCCCACTGCCCGCACAGAACTCCAGCTACTTGACGATCTGCTATCTGCATCTCCCAAAACCCCAGCCAAGAGAAAAAAGCCGCCATGCCCGCTCAGAAGCAGATCACGAAGCCAGAGGAGGCTGGCGAGTCCTCGACGTCCGCAGCCAAGAAGGCACTAACTGCGGCGTCAAATGGCGTTCCTAATTACGAGCTTCCCTGGTCAGTCATTATAAGCTTCCTCCAACTTTCCAACCCAGCTGCTAATATGCGCGCTTCAGGGTCGAAAAGTATCGCCCAGTCTTCCTCGACGATGTAGTCGGAAACACCGAGACGATTGATCGACTAAAGATCATTGCAAAGGAGGGAAACATGCCGCACGTCATCATCTCGGGCATGCCTGGTATCGGAAAAACTACGAGTGTGCTTTGCCTGGCGAGACAGTTGCTCGGAGACACATACAAGGAGGCTGTATTGGAGCTCAACGCCAGTGACGAGAGAGGTAACGATAACAGATATGTTCTATGTTTGACGCATCCAATACTGACGCTCAAGCACAGGAATCGACGTCGTTCGCAATCGCATCAAGGGCTTCGCGCAGAAGAAGGTTACCCTGCCCCAGGGCCGCCACAAGCTCGTCATCCTCGACGAGGCCGATAGCATGACATCAGGCGCCCAGCAGGCCCTTCGCCGGACAATGGAAATCTACTCCAACACCACGCGCTTTGCCTTCGCCTGCAACCAGTCCAACAAGATCATCGAGCCGCTGCAGTCACGATGCGCCATCCTCCGCTACGCCCGACTCACCGACGAGCAGGTCGTTAAGCGACTGCTGCAAATCATTGAAGCTGAAAAGGTGGAATACAGCGACGACGGCCTCGCGGCGCTCGTCTTCAGCGCCGAGGGCGACATGCGGCAGGCCATCAACAACCTGCAGTCGACGTTTGCCGGCTTCGGCTTCGTGTCAGGTGACAACGTTTTCAAGGTGGTGGACTCGCCGCATCCGATCAAGGTTCAGGCGATGCTCAAGGCGTGCTACGAGGGCAACGTCGACTCGGCACTCGAATGCCTGCGGGAGCTCTGGGACCTGGGGTACTCGAGCCACGACATCATCAGCACCATGTTCAAGGTCACCAAGACGATCCCGACGCTGAGTGAGCACTCCAAGCTTGAGTTCATCAAGGAGATTGGCTTCACGCACATGAAGATTCTGGAGGGCGTGCAGACGCTGCTGCAGCTGAGCGGCTGCGTTGCGAGGCTCTGCAAGCTCAACATGGACCCGAAGAAGTTTGAGGCTCCCTCAAAATGAGGATTGGCAGCCGATAGAAGACTCGCTGCTGGCGGGACATAATGACTTGCATGATCCGGCGTTGGGGGTTAAATCAGGTCTGCGGTACCTTTTCTGTGTAGCTCGAAAAACAAAAAGTCAAGGATTTGAGTGTCCAATGATATACAATACTATGAAATACAGGTTAAGATCGACCTTCATCCAGTTGACAAAGTTCAATTTCGGTGTAGTCGCTTGTGATGGTTACCGTTCATTTCTTTTCGTCTGGATTCTCATAAAACTCCCGCTCAAATCTCTCCCACTTAGCCCTATCCCTCAGAATGCGTTTCTGCAATCTAACGCGGGCTTCGTATTCTCGTAACCTATTGTCCGCCTCCAGCATGCTTCCCAGCACCATGGCCGACATTTGCATATAGCTGCCGTGATTATGTCAGTCACATTTCATCCAATACTACGAGACGAAGTGAATGAACGAGGGAGTGAGATAGGAGAAGGGGGAGAAAAAGGGTAAGGGTGACTTGGGTTGTGTCGCGTGAGGTGACGTATTACATCTTGAACTGAATGGTGAGGCCCTTGTACAGCGGCGAGAACTTGTACGCAAAGGCGCCCACGACGGCGGCTCCGAGACCCCATCTCGCGGCGCCGATGAAGGCTCCCCGGGTAGCTTCCCACGCGGCATCGTCGGCCTCGGCGCTCTTCATCTTGTCGTGCGTTGCCATCCTACTGGCATTGTCGACCGGGGCGCCGGTCTGTGTCTGTGTCTGCTGAGAAAAGAGTTGATGACGTCGAGACCTCAGTGGTCTGTGAAAGTGTTCCGTACGTAGGCGACGGTGAGAGATGCAATTTGAAGATATTCAGAAGCGATAAAAGTCTGAGACTTTTGATTGGTGAGATCGTACGATTTTCACCGGGCGGGCATCCTACTATGTATAGCTACCTTGTAAGGCGTGAAAGGTGAAGCTCTTGTCTTTTTTTTGCTCCATCAATCGCCGAGGTGAGCAAGTTGGTACGGGCGGGTGGGACGAGAGCAGACGCCGAACATAATCCCTGCGGCGAGTCCCAAAAGTCCCATAGAGTGCCCCGGCGGCGCGGCCATCCTTGCAGTGGGAGAATGGCGGCGGGCGCCTAGGCTCGATGCAGCCCCTGAACGAACACTCTCCCCCGATCCTGCAGGGACCCCTTCCCGCTATCGGAAGCTTATCAACTGCAACATCGAGTCTTATTCTTCAAACGGCTTCTGCAGGTTTCCCCAATGGATTCAATGGCGCGGGATGGATCTGTTGACGATGCTGAAAAGGAGATCCTGGAGCTGGAGGCACGCCTCAAAGCTGCCAGGGGAAAGTTGAATGATCTCAAAGGAGATACACAAGTACCCGTCGAATCTCTACCGTCTCGAGGTCTCTCATCAAAACCCTCATGTCAGTCCAACCCCAACTACACATGTTCAATATATAATATCTCAAATCATTCCTTTTCTCAACTAACAGAAATCCCAGTATCACCATCCCCCTCACAAACAAACCACTACCTCCTCCTCCTCTCAGACTCAGCCCTGCCCCTCGGCTCCTTCGCCTTCAGCAGCGGCCTCGAGTCCTACTTAGCCCACACCCGGCCCCGCTCCTCCTTCAACACCTTCCTCCCGGAATCCATCTCCGCCTACGCCTCGACGACTCTACCCTTCGTCCTAGCAGCGCACCGCTCGCCCTCCGACGTCGCGGACCTAGACGACCAACTCGACGCCGCAATCATCTGCACCGTCGGCCGCCGCGCCTCCATCGCCCAGGGCCGCGCCTTACTCTCCATCTGGGAACGCTCCTTCGCCTCCTCCCTCCCCGCCCCTGTTGTCGAGACTCTCCAGCCGTACGCGGCGCTTCTCAAGACGGCCACCTCGTCGCGGTCAGTGTCGTCGACTGCAGACGACCAGGCTGAACCCCCGCTCGTCTTCGCTCACCTGGCCCCCCTCTTTGGCGCAATCTGTAACCTCGTGGGCCTCACCCTGCAGCAGACGGCCTACATCTTCATGATGGGCCACGTTAAGGCCCTCATCTCGGCCGCCGTGAGAGCCAGCATGTTTGGACCGTACCAGGCGCAAAAGGTGCTCGCGAGCACACAGGTCCAGCAACTCATCTCTGCCGCCATTGAACGGGAGTGGGGCACGCCCGTCGAGAGGGCCGGGCAGACGATGCCGGTCATGGATCTATGGATAGGCAGACACGAGGTTCTATATTCACGAATATTCAACAGTTGAAATTTTTTTTTTCCACACTCAGCTTCTCTACTTTGATGTGTTTCCATTCTCAAATGGGGTATCATGATCGCTTTTATTCTCTCTTCTCCTTACCCCTTATTAATCGTACAAAACCAACCAGCCTAGGACTCAGTCGGAATCATCGTCGCTACCGTAGCCGACCAACGGCCCAGCAGACACAGCAACCTTTGGTTTCGACGCCACAGCGACCTTGGACGCGTTGAGGGCCGCCAGTGTGCTGCTGGAGAAGATCCCGCCAGACACAATCGACGGCTGCTGCTGCTGTAGCATAGGCAACCCGTCATACTGTTCCTGGCCGCCGTTCTCGAGCATAGGCCGCTCCTGGTACTCCACCTCGTGGCCCTCACGGCCGACGGGGTTCACGGCGTTGGCGCCCCGCGCGAAATGGACCTCGTCTGGCGCCTCGTAGCCCTCGAGCCCGTAGCTGCTTTCAATCTTCCTCCTCTTCCTGGCCTCCGGGTCCTTGCCCTCGATTTCGGCCACGAACTCCGCGGGGAGCGCGCGCCGGACGGCCTCGGCGGCCTGCTCTTCGATCCGTCTCGCTTCGCGCGCCTGCGCCATCGGGTTCGGGTCGGCGGTCGCCCATCGCACGTTGAGGATCTCCTCGTGGTCCAGGGACTGGTGCGCCATAGCTTCCTTGGCGAATTGCGCGTTGGCCTCGTTGGAGTATGTTATAAATGCGACTCCGCGAGTGTTGAGCACGCGGACTAGATAGACAAGCAAAGAAAGTTAGCATACGCTCCCGTAGATGCGGCACATAATTTCTGCATAAACTCACCTCGTTCGACTTGCCCCCATTCCGCAAAGTGACGCGCCACAATCTCTTCGATATCATCCGTGACGTGTATCCTTCCCACATAAATCGTGCGGTTCTGCCTCATGAAACTACCGACACCACCCATGTCGTCTCTGTAATCGGAGTGCTTGTCCCGGCCAAAGCAGTCGACGTTGGGGTTGAAGATGTCGTGGATGCCCGGCAGACGGTGCAGGTACTCGCAGTCCTGGCCCTTGGGACATATGCCGCGCGCGAAGAACAGACAAAAATAGCTGCCGGTCACCTTGTCGGCCCTCGTGTAGCCGCTGTCTTTGGCGACGTTGCAGCGGCCCTTTGCGTGCGTCTTGGAGAGGTACTTGTCCTCGCGATCGCCGCCCGACCACTTATTGTACCAGATGTTGAAGATTGTTCCCGTCTGCGGCGGCGGCTCCGAGGTGATGAAGGACGGGTCGACTTGGGGGCGCGCCGGCCTCTTCTTCTTCCTGATGATCTTTTTTACTTTTCGTTCTGTCGGCGCGGCGACCTCGGTGGTGGTTGTCGCTGTTTCCTGTGCGTTGTCCTCGGGCTCTGGTCCGTCGACCTCCTCGGGACGGGCTTGCGCGACTTCGTCCGACATGATTGCGGTCGTGGGGAGGGGGGGGGGGGATATATAGTGCAGTGGATGTCGTGGTAGAGAGCTGGTGGGATACCTCGAGTGTTGATGGGTGGTTTTTGGATGGATGTCGACTACGGGGCAACAGTGAGCGCGCGCGGCGAGGCTTGGAAATTTGTTATCGCGATAAAGCTGTGGCGCAAACCATGGCGCGCACATCCTCAGTACCTCAGTGGTTCGAGGGCGGTGAGTGGAGACCCCTGTCGCTCCAACGCAGCCCCGCGGTAAATTCTGCCACACAGTTCAGTCTTCCAATGCCTTGGGTGGCCGACCTGCCCCACCATGATCTTGCGAAGCCGTCTCTCGTCGATCAGAAAGCGAAGCGCTTATTGCTCATCACCATCTTTTCGATTTATAGGATTTGTCAGAGTCTAAAGACTCTGAGCTCATAAATCGCCAAGATGGTGAACATTACGGAAAAGATCAAGGAGTACGAAACCTCACCACCACCAAATCGAAGCAAACGGGAGGCTGATGATGCGCCACTAGGATTGAGGATGAGATGAGAAAGACCCAGAGTAAGACGCATCCTCGCCTGCCTTCGGGTCATTTTTCAGAAGTCATTTCATATGCATCATTGTCGACTTGGGGAGACTCGACGAATCAACGGGAGAATGAGAATGGCTTTTCTACAAGCTCATCGTGAATGTGACTGGAGAGAGATGACCAAGCGCAATGCTCTTTTCCGATAGAATTCTTGCTAACTTCTTATAGAGAATAAGGCGACTGGTACGTTTGTGATCTTTATTGAACCAAGCACGAACCATTATTAACAACAGACCTTGAAAGAATATCATCTTGGTCTTCTAAAGGGGTTAGTACTCATCACACCATTATCCACATAGGCGCCTTGTTTCTTACAAACACACCAAAAGTAAACTCGCCCGTCTCCGAGCACAACTCCTCGAACCAGGTCCAGGAGCAGGCGGCGGCGGCGGCGCAGGCTTCGACGTCAGCAAATCCGGCGACGCCCGAATAGCCCTCGTCGGCTTCCCCTCGGTCGGTAAATCCACCTTCCTGTCCAAGGTCACGCGGACGAAATCAGAGGTGGCCTCGTACGCCTTCACGACGTTGACAGCCATCCCGGGCGTTCTCGAGTATGGCGGCGCCGAGATCCAGCTGCTCGATTTGCCGGGTATTATCGAGGGTGCCGCCGAGGGCAAAGGTAGAGGACGGCAGGTCATCTCGGCGGCCAAGACGAGCGACATGATCCTCATGGTGCTGGACGCGACCAAGAAGGCGGAGCAGAGGGCGCTACTGGAGGCTGAACTGGAGGCCGTGGGCATCCGTCTCAACAGAGAGCCACCGTAAGATGATGATGATGATGATGTTTCCTCTTCCCCTATTCGTTCGTGTCTGACGAAACCGTGGCAGAAACATCTACCTCAAAGCCAAAAAAGCAGGCGGCATGAAAATCACCTTCCAGTCCCCGCCCAAAAACATGGACGAGAAAATGGTCTTCAACATCCTCCGCGACTACAAGATCCTAAACTGCGAGGTCCTCGTCCGCGACGAGTACGCCACCGTCGACGACCTCATCGACGTCATCATGAAGGACCACCGAAAGTACATCAAATGCCTCTACGTCTACAACAAGATCGACTCCGTCTCCCTCGACTTCCTCGACAAGCTCGCCCGCGAGCCCCACACTGTCGTCATGTCGTGCGAGCTCGACCTCGGCATCCAGGACGTTGTCGACCGCTGCTGGGAGGAGCTCAAGCTCATCCGCATCTATACCAAGCGCCAGGGCGCTGATCCGGATTTCAGCGAGGCGCTCATCGTGCGGAGCAACAGTACCATTGAGGACGTGTGCGACCGCATTCACAGGACGCTCAAGGATACCTTCAAGTACGCGCTCGTCTGGGGCGCCAGCGCCAGGCATATCCCGCAGAGAGTGGGACTCGGACATGCGGTGGCGGATGAGGATGTGGTTTGCGTCGTGAGCGCGTGGAAGGCATGAGAAATGAATTCATCAGATGAAAATAAGAAAATGGGTTTAAAAAGGTGACGAGGAATTGTATTTCCTGCGCATGCCAACCGCCAACATCGCGGTGGCTGATGAATACAGTCCTTCTAGAATCCTAGTCGTGGAAAAGCAAAAAAAAAGCCTGATATCGTTTCGTGTCATGTCATGGTGTAGTACAACCCAACCCCTTATCCTGGAGTCAGACTTCGGTCTACCCGTAAAACGCCAATGAACCCTATCCCATCCTCAAAAACAGCCTGGAAGAGCCAGCAGAGGCGCAAATTCAGCGTCCCTTTTCCAAAAAGAGGAAGAGACAAAACTAGTAAAACAACCCGCGAGCCAATCCCATTAGTGAAGTGAAGCTTTTATGTTGTTTTGGTCCGAAGAAGATGCGACGACGCTGCCTAGAAGGCGTTGTCTTTGGTGGGTGTGCCTGCTTGGTCACCGAACACGGCGGCGTCGCCTCTGAGCTTCTTGGCTGAGGTCTGCGCGAAGAGGGACTTGGGCTTGACCCTGTTGGATGAAGAGGTTAGCATTTGTTGTTCTTGACAAGAGTAGACAACGTCGGGAGCCCAATGGATGTTGTGGGTAGATGGTATGACTTACTTGCCAACCTGCTTGTTGCGAAGGGCGCTGAGCTTGGCGGTGCAAGGGCTCATGATGTTGTCAGATGGCGAGATGTACGTCTTGGACCTATCGAGAACAATGGAGTTTAGGGTTTTGCTCTTGTTACTGCTGCGAGGCTGTAGTTTGTCGTACTTCTCTTGGGCCATCTTGTTCTGCAGGACCTGGCGGTGGTACTCCATGCTCTTGAGGTCCTTGGTGGACTGGGGGTCGCTGGCCACGACGGTGGCGTTGACGTCCTTGTCGCCGAGTACGTTGGGAGACATGTTTGCTTAAGGGTTGGGTGGTGTGGTGGGTTGATTTGGTTTGGTTGCTGTATGCAATGCGCAATGCTGAGCTGTGCTGGATGCTCGGAAGTGGTTCTGCTGCTCGATGCGTGTATAGAAGACGTGAAGCTTATGGCGCAAAGTGTGTGTATGTGTGTGTGTGTGTGTGTGTATGGATGGATGGTTGCAGTGGGATGGTGGAGGAAGATGGATGTGTAAAGTGGTGGTGGATTTGGGTAGTTTATGGTCTGTGGCTTGGGTCCCAATGCAGAGAAGGAAGGTCTTTGTACTTAACGGGTGCTTGCGCTGGTACACAGGATTTACCGTGGAGTGTTTATGACGTTCGTGAATGGATGTGAAAAAGATGCACGCTCTTTCCTCTCTCTTGGAAGCAATGAAAAGGCCCTGTCTGGCACACATTGGGTGGTAAAGTGGGTGGAGCAGTTGCCGGGTGTCAAAGTAAACGAATTTTCTGGGATGTTGACGGGGCAACGGGCTAATCGAAACGGCGACGGCGCTGTGGGAAACTGCAGTCTGCAGATAATAGTGCAGGGGTTCAGGGGTGGGAAGGAATGCGGGTCCTCGGCCTAACTTGCCAGGGGACGACGCTACTTACTTATTTCCATAGGTACTATGAGCACAAGACACCCAGAGACACCGAGTCTTTGTCAGTCAGGAAGCTGTGACCTTCGGCCGTCGCCCGTGTGATGGACAGGTGTGGACGGGATGCGCTGTCAGGTTTCCCTTTCCTTTCCCATCCTTTCCATCCTTTCCTTCTAGATTATTAGCGGGCTTCCTGGGCAACCCAGCACCCCGGACCTTATGTTGCCAGCTATGGTTCTTTGCCATTGCATCCATCTTGCCCATCAATCCTGTACAACGAAGCAGTCGAGAGCTACGGCAATGCTTGTTTGCCTTGCTAGTTCTCGGTCTGTGGAGTGGCTCTGACCCCATCTCCCGTCCCACCGGGGAAAGAAAGAGGTTGCATCTGTGGTCAATGCTGCCAGCATGAACGGTTCTGAGCTGTCCAACGCGCCCATCTCCAAGGTAACTAGCAGCGTCACCTCCCGGACCTTAATGCCGCAGGGTCTCTTGAACTGATCAATTCCACTTCCACATGGCCAGACAATGGGGGTGCTAGTGTGACTCAGAGAACATGGAAGGCGGCGGCGGGCCAACGGGTTGCAGATCACTTCTCATCCTAAATGTCAATCCCATCTGGGGGAGGAACATGGCCTAGACTGACCCAAGGCCTGTCATTCACGATATTGTACACAAAAGATATCATTCAACTATACAAACACCTAGCTGGCGACGCGTAACGCAACCTTACAGCTTGGACTTGGTAATCTTCGACCCAGGCTGGAACGACTGGAGCTTCCACTGCGCAAGCAGCTGCTCCGTCTTCTGCTTCTGCCACTGGATCTTGTCTGTGACCTCCTTGCCCCTCTTGTTCTCGTTCTTGCCCAGCTGCTGCAGATGCACCTCGTCGGGTCCGTCAGCGAGCCGCAGCGTGCGGATGTTGGCCCACATGCCCGCCAGCGGCGTGTCCTGACAGACGCCGGCCGCGCCAAACGACTGGATGGCGCGGTCGATGACGGTCAGCGCCGTCTGCGGCACGAGCACCTTTGCCTCGGCGATCTCCTTGAGCGCCTTCTTGGCTCCGTGGTCGTCCATCTTGATGGCCGCGTTGAGGACCACGAGACGGGCGGCGTCGATTTCGATGCGGGACTTGGCTACCCACTCGATGATGACGCCGTGCTCCTTGAGCTGCTTGCCGAACGGCGTCTTGGTCGGGTCGTTGATGCGCATCAGCATCCACTCGAGGGCTCGCTCGGCCTGGGGAGATAAATATGTTAGTCTGTAGCCGTAACACATTACTCGTGGATGGACCTACTGCTCCAATGGTACGCATGGCGTGGTGGATGCGACCGGGACCAAGTCTGCCCTGGATAATCTCAAAGCCGCGACCCTCGCCCAGCACCAAGTTGCTGGCGGGGACCCTGACGTCCTTGAAGCTGACGTGACCGTGGCCGTGGGGCGCATCGTCGTAGCCGTACACCTGCAGCATGCGGTGGATGGTGATGCCCTTTGTGTCCGCGGGGACGAGGATGACGGATTGTTGCCTGTAGGGGTCCTTGTTGTTCGCGTCGCTCTTGCCCATGACGATGTAGACTGAGCATCGGGGGTCACCGGCACCGCTGGACCACCATTTCTACTTTGATATCAGCAACGAAACTCCAAAACACTGAAATATGCCTAGGGTTCGTCCCACAACGTACCGAGCCATTCAGGACATATTCGTTGCCCTCCTTGCGCATGCTGAGCTGGATGTTGGTTGCGTCCGACGAGGCAACCTCGGGCTCCGTCATCAAGAATGCGGAGCGAATCTCGCCCTCCATCAACGGCTTGAGCCACTTTGCCTTTTGCTCCTCGTTTCCGTACTTGGCCAGCACCTCCATGTTACCCGTGTCGGGCGCGGCGCAGTTGACGGCCTCGGAGGCGACGCGCGACTTGCCGAGCCACTCGGCCATCAGGCCGTACTCGAGATTCGTGAAGCCGGGTGACTCCTTGTAGTGGCCCTTTGGCAGGAACATGTTCCACAGGCCCAGCTTCCTGGCCTTGGCCTTGAGGTCGTCAACGATGGCCGGGTGGTGGTCCCATCTCGCTTCGCCCTGGCCGATCTGAGCTTCCAGGATGGGGTCTGCGCTGCACACAGAAGTAGGATGTTTAGTGCCGGTGGACTAAGCAAAACAGCCGTTTTGGTGGATGATTTTTGCTTACGGGATGCACTCTTCTTCGACAAACTTGGCCACGAGATCAAGCGCCTCTTTGGCGCGATCGCTGAGGCGATCCAGGACCTGGGCGGCGGCGGCTGGGTCAGCGATGCTGTGCGTTTCCAAATTTTGGGTACCTGAGCTGGGGGGTGAAGCTCTCCCCGCACTAAGGTAGCGACTTACGATGGCTGGAACTCTGGACGTCATCTTGGGGATATGGAAGCGAGGCGAATTGGGGATGACAGTACGAGATTGATTCGTCTCAGAGTTGGGAATTGTGAGGTTTGTGAGGTATGAAGAGTATAGAGATGCAAGAAATGGGGAACAACGTCAATTGGCATGGATCTTTACTCCCTTTTTGAACGTGGAGTGTTTAGTCTCATCATACGGTAGACGAGCGATGGGACGAGCCGGCAAGCCGAGGTTGAGTCTGGAGCTGCCTAGGGAGTACCTAGGGACCCCCAAAAGGTGGGGATCCTGGGGTAGCCGTCTCTGAACCTCCGCCTCCGCCCTCCACGTCTGAGAATGGCCCCAGGCCCCCCCAGATTTGTAGCGGTGGGTTTCTGCCGTATAGCTGGGCTCATTTTCCTGATTGACTAGCCATACCTACCACACAGTAAAAGGACTAGAAAGACTGCCTATCTAGATCACTTGGGTAGCTTACCGCCAAATTGCCCATGAGGTGGGTTGAGGTGGGTTCGAAACGGACTTCATTCATAGAGCGATGGACGCAGATTCCGGTCCAGTCGTAAGATCAGAAACCTGTCTTGGGATCACCCTGGCCCAAGATCACTTACTAGCCCTCAGGCCTCACTGTTAGTGTTCAGTGACCTTTCCTCCTGATTAAAGCCGTTCTCCGGCGCTCATCGATCCTCACAAGACTAAAACTACGGATACTCCGTAAGGACGATGCGGTGGTGCCACTTAGGCGCGTTACCGTTGCGGGGGAGCGCCAGTTGTGCCGGCCTCCAATAGCAGTGTCCGCACCCAAACCCGATGCCTCGGCGCGGCCTTCAGGCCGGCGGGATACTTTTTCGGGGCCTTAGCTCACTCTTTTCTTAGGGACGCAATTCCGAATCCCTTGCGCTTACAACACTGCAATGCCGTCGACAACATGGGTTGACTGGTAAAGTGAATTATTCAATTGGCTGGCTGAGTCTATTTCCTTGACAAACAATGGCCAACTACCTCATAGACGCTCTTCTAATATGACAATGCTTCAAGCTCTCTACCTAAAATCTAGGCTTTTTTCTCCCAATCCGTTGATTTCCCACGTCTCTTCTATGTGCGGTAGTCACCGTTGATGGTAATATACTCGTGACTGTAATCGCAGGTCCAGTACGTCGCCTCCTTGTCGCCAGTTCCCAGCCTCACCAGGATCTCCAAATCCTCCAGCTCCAAAATTTCCGAAGCCCTGGCCTCGTTGACCATCTCCGGCTCACCGTTGACCAAAAGCTTCAGCTCAGGCGTGCCATCGGTAGGAACGAACGAGACGTTGGTCTTCTCGGGCGTGACCTCGGGGACGTCGTTGACAGCCTGGCCGGGCTCCGACACGAGCGAGTAGCCGGTCGCACACAGGATGCGGCCCCAGTTGGCGTCCCGTCCGTACAGCGCAGTCTTGACGAGAGGTGACCTGGCAATGGTGCTGGCAATCTTGCGCGCGGCCTCCTCACTGGCAGACTCGACGACGCGGATAGTGACGAACTTGGTGGCGCCCTCGCCGTCGCGGACGATGAGCTTGGCCAGGTCGATGGAGAAGTCGGTCAGGACCTGCTGGAAGGCGGCGTAGTCGGGTGAGTCCTCGGAAGAGATTTCCTTGCCACCGGCAGCACCGTTGGCGAGAAGAGCAAGGGTATCATTGGTCGAAGTGTCTCCGTCAATAGTGATGCTGTTGAACGATCGGTCGACGGCGTGCTTGAGAACGGAAGGCATCACAGCGGGCGAAATGGGCGCGTCCGTGGCAACAACTCCGAGAAGAGTGGCCATGTTAGGGTGAATCATGCCGGCGCCCTTGGTGGTTCCAGCGATGCGGTATTCAACGTTTGGTGACGAGGGCAGCGTGAAAGTCTTTGACATAAGTTTCGGGAACGTATCGGTCGTGCAGATGGCGGTAGCAAAGCTCAGCCAGTGCTTGTGAGAGGAGCCCAGAGCCCCTTGAGCAGCAGGGACGTTATCGACAATTTTGGCGATCGGCAACCTCTGCCCAATGACTCCTGTGCTCATGACGATGGTGGATGACGCATCGCCCTCTCCTCCGACAACCTTGTCGGCTGCGCTGGCCATCAGAGAAGCATCCTCGAGACCTCCCTTTCCGGTGACGGCATTGGCGCATCCCGAGTTGATGAGAACGCTGCGGATGCCGCGGTTGGCCTTCTTCTTGAGCAAATCCCTACTGAAGGTGACGGGCGCCGCCTGGAACTTGTTCTTGGTGAAGACGGCGGCGGCGGCACAGGGCCGGTCTGAGCTGAGAAGAGCGAGATCGGGCTTCGTCTTGTTTCCCGGCTTCACGCCGACGAGGATGCCAGAGGCTTGAAAGCCCTTGGGATAGGTGCCCTCCGTCGGGACGTACTTCTTCTTGGCGGCCGGAATGCTCTCGGCGGAGACCGAGTAGCACCTCACGAACCGAGCCAGATGGCCGGGAAACCTCTTGACGGGTTGCGCCATTCTGACAATTGACGACAGCCCAATGCTGAGATTAAAAGGACCTGGAGAGGAGAGGATGCTCGAGAGCCAATTGGCTCACGTACGGCTTGCTGTGATGCTGGAGCTGTGTGAGTTTCTTGTGAGAGAATGTTAGTCACTGGGGGGGAAGCAGAGGTGAGAAGAGAGATTTAGACGACGCCAGGTGTGCGATAACGGCAGTCGCCCATTTTTTTGGACAGGGATGGCACAGTACTGTGCTGCAAAAGGCGCATTGAGACCAGTCCCGATCCTAGCAACTTATTCTGACGCTGCAGCTCATGTCGACCGAATCATACATTACGTCGTATTGCACTCTTTGAGAGCAATAACTCATGCCTTCTCTGTAAATAAATTCAATTCAATTGTATCGTGAAAGTGAAATCGAAACTGATCATTACTGTGCGGCAATAACTTATTACAAGTTCGTCGAGACTTAGTGAAAGAGTCTCGGCTCGGAATTCAGACCCCTGCAGCGAGTGAGGTCGAATGGCGGGGAGCGGGCCCACTCAAGCTTATCGCATCCGCCTCGGTGAGCTTATCGCCTCCCAAGCATAGAAAAAAATTCTAAGAAAGTCGCACCTTTGGTCCCTCCAACCACCCAGCCGAGTCGCGACACGCTCCAGTTGTATACCCAACCCGCCACAACCCGCAACAAGAGGACATCTCGTCACCGATTTTGCAACAATGGCGCCAAACAAGACGAGGACGATCAAGAACAAGCACGCCGCCAACGGCTCTGGCATCAAGAACAGCAAGGCCGCGGACAAGAGGCCCGTTCCCGATGGCATCGTTAGGAAATCCAGAGACACGCCTAAGGGCACCAAGCCCCTCAAGGCCGGCGGCAAGACGAACCTCGAAGCCCTGCTGAAGAAGCGCAAGAAGAAGATTTACACGGAGGAAGAGCTCGGCATCCCCAAGCTGAACAAGATCACGCCGGTCGGCGTGGAGAAGCCCAAGGGCAAGAAGAAGGGCAAGGTCTTTGTCGATGACAGGGTATGGTTCCCCCGCGCTGCAATATGCCTTCTTCTTTCAAACTATTCTGATAGCTAACTCTACCCAAACAGGAGAGCATGAACACCATCCTCGCCATGGTCCAGGCCGAGAAGGAGGGCCAGATCGAGTCCAAGATGATGAAGGCGAGACAAATGGAGGAGATCCGCGAGGCCCGCCGGGTAGAGGCCGAGAAGAAGGAAGAGGAGAAGAAGAGCAAGCTGGAGGAGACCAAGGACTCGCTGCGCAAGAAGAGGAAGCGTAACCCCCGCGCCGAGGACGAGGACAAGATCAGCCAGTACGCGACCGCAGGGTCAAAGGCCGCCAAGCCCAAGACGAAGAAGAAGAGCGTCTCCTTTGCGTGAGTGAGGGAGATGGGGTTGTGGAACACGTAGCAGCATGTCTTTGCATCTTGGGCGGCGTTCAGGAGTGCCAAAAAAAGTAAACATACTGGGTTGGTAAAAAGTTGGGAGGGGGAACGTCTTCTTATTCGTCTATTTGTTTTATCCCTCTGTTGTGTCGACGGCGTTCAGAGCAGATACCATGGCGAGGGCTTAACCTTGCACGAGAGCTCAGTGCACCACCATAGGACAGCGATCAGTCAGGCATCGGCGAGGTATGAATCTTGCCGTTGCAAATAACCTGTCTGGATACTATCATGTTCATAGCTTTGTCCGCTACTGCGAATGTCAATAAAAAGCAGGTGTACTTTTTCTATCTATATCATCTAAGTCTAAACCGATACAAAATCCTATTGTGATGTCTATTGTGTCCCGCGCTATTCCGAGGCTGCCTTGATCTCCATTCTGTGTCTCGCAGGGGTGAAGTGGAACTCTGACTTGCCGTTCCTGGGCGGAAGTCCGTTGGTCTTCGGAGGTAGCTGGCTATGATCCACGTTGAACGCCATGTGGTTAAAGAAGTTTGAGACCTGGTCTCGTCAGTTCATGATTTTCGGCATTCTTTGGATGATAGGACATACCGGCTTTGCGTGCCATCTTCCTCCTCCAGGCTCGAACCAGCAAAGGTGGCCGCCCAAGGAGGTGGTGCACAAAACCGTGTAGGGGTTCTTGCTGAATTCCTCGTACGGGATAGCTTCTTCTACTGCAATCTGCAAAATTTTGGTCAGCTTGCCTGAAAGTTCAGGGCTGGGATTGAGTGGTCGCTTACAGGATCGTCGGTGGCATGCAGGGCGAGGAAGGGAATCCGGATGGCCAGGACCGCGTCGCAGGAAGACGCATCGCGATAGTAGGCACTCTCTGTGGGGTAGCCCCAGCTGACGCATCTGCTTTTTGTGAGAAACGCTTTGTGGAATTGGTGGCGTATGAAAACTCACTGGACTTCCCTGTCAAATTCCCACAGGTACGTTACGTTCTGAAGGCGTTCGAGGTCGAGGTTGGTGTGCTTTTGCACCTCCTCCTTGTGTCCGTTGATGAGTTGCTTCATGCTGGCTGCATAGGCGTGTAAGTACCAAGGATCAAGCTCGCATGTTGCGTGATGAGAACAACTTACTTCCCATAACTCGTTGGTAGACCTCTCTACCAAGGAAAGTGCGCTTCAGTGCCTTGTTGGAGACTTCAAGGTTGAAGGGGTTGGAGCACGCAATAGCGGCCGTCAACTGGCAGTCGACGCCCTCCTCGCCACAGTACTGACGTGGAAGAATTAGTCAACGTGAGAAGAGTATAATGAAAAACTGTAAACCTACGTTTGTCAACATGTTGGCGCCGAGTGAGAAGCCCAAGCCAAACAGAGGGCGGTTGGGGAACTTCTTTCTCAGCCACTTGATGGTCTGGGCCGATTGTCAATTGACCTCCTGCAAAGTATGATGAGCAGCGAACAAATCACTCACCTGACGGAAGTCCCATGTTGCTCTAGCATTGTACAAAATACCACTGGTGAACTTGCTGTTGGCGCAACCTCTCGAGTTCACCACGCACACCTCCCAGTTTCCCGAGTCAATCAACGGCGCAATGGCGTGTCTCAGGTAAATCTCATGAGAGCCACCTGAGAGGCCGTGGAGAACTACCAGTTGGGGCCTGTTGTCGTCCGACGCCAGAGTCTCGAACTCCTGGTCCTCGAAGTACACCGTCCGCGGCGGCAAGGTGCTATCGGTCTCCTCAAAGGGCTGCGCTACAAAGTCGACTGCGAAAGTGCCTTCAAAGGCCTTGTCGTCGGCGTCAAAGACCTTGCGACGATAGTACACTGGCGGGCCGTGCTGCTTCGTGGCAGTCCACATGGTCTGCAAGTGGCCGTTGAAGAGGAGCGGGTTCATGTGGCATGGCGGCGTGATCTTCTCACAGATCTTGAGGAGGTCAGTTTGGGCGCCATCCCTCTCCTTGAGGGCCACAGGCGATGATGCGTGTGTGAAGTTGATTTTGGCGTGTCCTAGCCAGTCCATGATTCGGAGTCTTCGGACAGCAGTTGATCGAGACAGTTTGGCTTAAGAGAAAGTTTGCAATAGCAAAAGGTGGAAAAGTCCCTTCACTAGACAACACAGCAGCAAATGTCAGGATGCCGAGTAAAGACTAAACAAGGGAATTAGTCGCACGACGTTATGAAAAGGCTAGGGCTTCTAGAAAAGACTGCAGTTCAGAGGAGGTTGTTGCGAAGTCAATGTGAACTCTCATGTGAGAATGGTTGGAGAGCCATAAGTCATGGCAGTGGAGCCCCGAGGACTAGTAGCTTCCGATTTAAGATATGCAAATTCACAATGTTTGCTACGGACCTGGGTACCAAAATCAAGTCCAGGGGGCGAACCAGCGGGCCATTTGTCTTGTATTGGGTGTAGGACCGAAGGTCTCAAATCAGCCTACCATGATAGATCGGCGCCGGGTTCACCAAGTGTCCGTTCTGCAGTGGGATTCAGTGATATGTCTGTACGACAGCACATTTCAAGCTCGATAAAAGAGGGCGAATGACGTGGATCACCTAGGTAGCGGTAAAGAGAGCAAGATGGATTTGGCATCGAGCCGAGGCACATGTCCACAGCCAATTAGAATACGGAGAGGACCAACTCGGTCGTAACCGTACATAGGTACCCAGCGGCTGAGACTCTGTTCAGCCACGCAGTGCCACACTCATCGGGATTCAAAAGTTAAGAATTTCAGTACCTATTTGCCTAAGGTAGCCAGCCATCTTTACGTGTAACTCTTTCGGGCAAAGATGGAGCCTTCGTGGTCTGTGCATTTCCTACCTGACCGGAACCGTGGGGAGGGATCCACGGCACGTGGAATTATGTAAGGCACGCAGGGACCATGGGCCATTTCTCGACCAGTCGTTCCTCGAGGAGCCTCGCGACCTGCAGGTGCGGCTATTGGACAGCAACCGCGTCGCATCAAGTCAGTCCAGTTCAACAAAGCGACCGTCGAGACTCCATGTAGCGAAGCCTGCGATCCCTATGCAGTCCCAAAGATGACATACCGGGGCTCCTTGCCTTCGGGGCAGGCCTTCAATGGCCAGCAGCAAGTCCCCCAACCCTACCACGATCCCTACGGCAATAGCAATGGCAATGGCGGCGGGAGTGGGAATGGCCAAACCCCGAACTACGCGAACGCTGCATATGGCACTCACGGTCAAGCGCAACCGATTCATGGCAGTTACCATCGACCACCTGCCCAAGCTCCGACTCCTATTCTTCCTGCGCCTACGCCGATGAATATGCAGGCCAACGGATATGGGCAGTTCCCTGCGTATGGCGGCACCTTCCCGCAGCAACAACAGCAGCAGCAGCCGCCGCAATACCCCCACCATCACCAACTCCAGCAGCCCTTTCCTCACGGGAATACGATGAACGTACAGTTTGCGCCTCCTCACTCGCCCTTCGTCCAAACCACACACGCCTCGCGTTCTCCTGCGCTTGCGCCTGCACCGACCCCGACACCGACGCCGCCAATTTATGCTGACTATCAGCCGACGCAACAGCCGCAACAGCCGCAACATCAAGCGCAATTCCAACCTCACTTCCAACAACAGCCTCAAGCGCCATCTCAACCACCGCAGCAGTTGCAGCAGCTACAGCAACAGCGTAGCCCCCAAGTCTTTCCGGCGGTACCACAATATGCCCAGTTCTCTCAGCCGCCCATGGGTCAAACTCAGGCTGTGCCGGTCCTGAACCAGGCTTTTGCCGAACCTTCTCCAGTCCAACCTAGCCCCGAGCCTCACTTTGCCAACTCGCCAACTGTTCAGCCGGCACGATCTCCTAGTATAGCTAGAAAGTCACCTGCGATATCCTCGATGAACTCTCCGGCCATATCATCCAGAGGCTCTCCCGCCTTATCGACGAAAGCAAGGTCTTACGACACGACGACGATCCTTGTTCACGTGGCAGAAGAGTGTTTCGAGAAGGCGCGCCGTGGTGTACAAAGAGTGGCGGTATCTGGATCAGACGAGCAAGTGCGCGAGTACCAAAAGTTGATTACAACTGGTCTGGCGTGTCTCGAGGCTGCATTCCAAAGCAATCGACTGTCTCCGAGACAAGAGGCGAAAGCAAGGTTGAGATATGCGTCTATCTTGTGTGATGAAACTGAGAATCTTCAAGAGGCAGAAACAGCCTTGAGCAAGGGCATCACCATCTGCGACAAGGTATGTTGGACTGGATCGTTACTCGCTCGAGTCTTGTGTTGACATTCCTTCCAGCATAGATACGCCGATCTTAAGTACTGTATGCAGTATCTACTGCTTAAGGTACTGTTTCAGAGGAATCAGAAGGCGGCGTTCATCGCCGTTGAAAAAAACATTGCGGACTGTCTCACGTGCGTCGTAGTAACCTTACCTCAATCGATGTTGGCTCGTTGCTTACAGAAACACCAGGTTCAAACACATACACTGGGTTTACGCCTTTCGCCTGCTGAAGGCCACGTTCCATGTCCATGCGGGTAGTCCACCCGATGCGGCAGTGCTGGACAACTTGCGCGCTATTGCCGTCTTAGCGGGCGAGCGAGGGGACAACGCGATGGTTGTCTTCGCCTCCCTCTTGGAAGGCTTGTCGGTGCTGAGGAACATGCGCCCTGACACCATCGAACGAGTGCAAACTTGTCTGGCGCAAGCCACAAAGTTTCAATTGGACCCCTCCGTTCAGATTCCGCAGCTGGATGTTTTGACGCTGTTGCTCGACCTTGCGTGTAGCATGCATCAGAAAACACCCGATATCTTGATTCACAAACTGAGAACACTTCAAGCAAAGCTTGATGCAAACTTGGGATCCCAGACATGGACTGATCTGAACCCTGAGATCTTGATCCCTGTTAAGAGACATAGCTCAACCTCTGCAACCCTCAGCGATGACACGACTGCTATCCTCCGATCTGGGCCAATTGACGGACAACACGATTACGTTGTCATGACTTTCCTGAACCGGCTGGAGATTATAGTATTGACGTAAGTACCACACAATTGCGCCCCCTTTGTCAGATATCAATTAACCGTAAACAGCTACACGTTCAGTGGTTTAGCCGGCATGTATCGCCCTGGTTCGGATCCTAAGAGGAGCCACGAATTCTGGAAGGAGGGATTCGATGTATTGGCAAAATGTGAGTGTGGTTTGTATTCTCAAATATGCATGAAGCTTACACAGCAGAAGGGAACAAGGAGATAGCCCCCAGTGTTCCCGCGGCATCCCTACGCGAGTCGATGGAGCAGTCTAAATGGAGGACCGAAATCTTCTGTTATTTGCAAGCTCTGACGGGGCTGTACTTTGCAACGCACAGTCAATGGCCAAAGGTCGAACAGTGCGTGGCACAACTGCAGCAGGCTATCACACCAGCTGTGAATGAAATCTTTAGCGTATTCTCGCTATACCTCTCCGGGGTCTATCATCAAGGCACTGGTGATTTGGAGACTGCTCTATTGTTGTTCGAAGACGAGAGGTTGGGTATCGATGCAGGCCGTGGAGGTCCAGGTGGCAGAAAGCCTGCTAAGCTAGAGCTGTGCATACTCGCTGCGCTGAACCGTATCTGGATCCTTCAAGATTCATCTTACCGGGACGAGATGACATCTACTGAGCTATTGGACCAGTTGCGGCCGATGTGCACGGAACATCAAGACCCAGATATACGCACCGCCTTCAATCTCGTACAGGCAACGGCTCAGACGATGCCCCCGCCATCTATGCACCAAATCAAAACGAGTATAACGAACTCGTTGAATGGGTCTCGGGTGACAGGTAACACGCACTGCCTGGCGATAGCCCTCAGCATCATGCGGTCCAGACTGTTCGATAATGTGGTGGGCGAACAAGCTCTGAAAAGCGCAAGGGCAGCCTCGACACAGGCGAAGCGGAGTGGAAACTTGCTTTGGATGAGTGTGGCGGACGGTATGCTGGCTGATTCTTTTGAAGTCCAAGCACTCTTTGCAGACGCCGAAGCAGCGCGGCAGACGGCCACGGACTATGCGTCTCACGCATTCACTGGGAAGGAGTAGTGGGTTCGGGTTCAGCGTGGATCATGTTATCACGGCATTATGGACTGGCGTCTGGTGCGGTATTTGGCCTGGCATGAGCTGATTGTTTGGGAAAGCATAATACCCCCCAATTTGTATCGCTGCCAGATGATGCGGCGAAATTGACTGGGAGATGATGGAATTGTTGTGACACCCGCTGTAGTTATTCTTTACAAAGTTGATGGGCTGTATGACTTCGGCCTATTAGCAATTACTACCTCGATTCCTCACGCTCGTAACTTGTATCAACTTAGCAAACGATGACGGTAAGGTAAGACAGATGGAAGATACTACTTGAATCTTGAGCGACCAAGATAGACTTTCTACTTCCCTCACCTCAACTGCCTGAGGTGAGCTACCCTGAGGTAGGAAGGCAAAGAGGGAGTCGAGGTAGACAGGGGGCCAGGGGGGTTTGCTTGGAGGCATGCGATCTGCGCATGCACGGACCAGGCTTCCTTTGGACCCTTGTCGCAATTGACTGAACTGTGGCGCGTCCCGTCCGCGTTCCGTTCTACCTAATAGGAAAAAAAAATTGACCAACAGCTTTCTAGCCCACTTCAAACTCCCCGTCAACTTCTGAGGCTGCAAATCGTCACCTTTGCCTCCGATGCTTCGTGCAAACACCCTGCGCCTTCAAAGGCTGGGAAACTCCTACGTTTGTGCGTCCTGCCGGCCCTGCCTTTCAGCACCATGTCGGACGCGACCCTCTTTCTTCCAGACCACCGCCCTGGTTGGCGACCGAGGCTATAGGAAGAGTAGCTCGAACGAGAAATCCATAGCAACGCCAGCCCCGAAAGACGATGCAGAACGTAGAAACGATGCAACACCCGATTTCGAGGCCAATACTGGGAAAGATAACCAGGCCAAAGCTAAGAGCGGTTTGGAATCTAGGAGCAAAGAGAAATCTCAGAGCGATACGGAACCTCAGAGCGATGCGAAACCTCAGAGCGACACGAAGCTCAAGGGCGGACGGACGGCAAAGTCAATGAAGTTACCACCCAAGAAAACTGCCTCTAAAGCTCAATCGAATGCCAGGGTGCAGTCAAGCAAGAAACCGCCAGCCAAGCAAGGAAACCCCGCCGATATAGAGAAGCCGGTCGACCCCCAAACAGCGCCCGAGCCTCAGGTCATAAAACAGGTTTTTGAGTCTCTGAAGAAGCTTGAGCAAAGCTACGCCTCCATCAACAGTAGGTTGTCGAATATTCAAGAAGGCACCACTGGAGCGGCTGCCGAAGGAGCCAAAGCAGATTCTGGGAAGAAGGGAGAACTGGACGCATTCGTGGCGAAACAGAGCGACAAGCTGGGTGGGAAGCTCAAGATGATTTCTGGTACTCTGGACGTTCTGAAGAGCGTCTTGCGCTCTCAGTCAATACCCCTCGACCATCTCGCAAAGAGGCCAAGTGCCACGAAACCGTCGGGCACCACATCAGATAGCGCTTCTAAGCGCAAAGACCAACCTCAGCAAGCTCAATCGCGTAGCAAGGCAAATTCGAGGCGGGATGAGATGCGGATAAAAGTGCGAAAGGTCCTGCTTGGCGAGCAACGAAAGCCGATACCGAAAGATCCAGTGAAAGCCTCGTGGACATCACTTGAGAATCGCCTCACTGGCGGTGACAAGGCTCCATTAGTTGTGGCGGCAGCCGCAGCTGGTGCATCAGCTCTTGGCGCAGCTCGTTCTGCCGCCAACACGGCTGCCAACGAAGCGGCTGCCGACGAGACATCGAACAACGACAGCGAACCACCTCCAACCAAGCCCAAGAGGGCCAAGAAATCTGAAAAACCTCTTGTCAATGTAAAGAGAGTGCATGCAGAAAATCTTCACCTAGTGCCCATCGAAGTACCAGACGCTCCCGAGGTGCCGAAACTCGCGTACGGCCTGGACAGAGTCTTGTTCAACCCTGGAGTATACCATATGCAGGACCCCCGCTCGCGAGTCTTCAACTTTGATCCTTACCTCGGCGATATCATGCCGATCAGTGAGTTTGACTTCAATGCGCTCCAGAAATATGTTACCTCTTCAAAGGATAACACCTTGATCTCGCTTGCGGCCAAGCTGGGTAGGAAGTACACCGGCTCAACGTCCAGCATGACTCAGACGCTGTCCCATTTCCACTTCTTGCTTTCTGCGTGGCGGCCTATCAACCCTGATAACATGAGCCGCCAGTTCACGCCCGAGTATTCGAGTTTCACTGCCATCTCTCGTGCCCCAGCTGCCTCCTTTCTGCATTTCAACGAAGGGGTGTACGCGATAGATGCAGACAAGGAGTACGACTCTGCCAGTATCTTGAGCATGCTCGGAAAGTCAATGGAGAAGCAGTTGACACTGCCGCGAGAAGAGTTCGAAAAGTATCGCCGTGCCAATTCCGATCAGATCACCGAGGAGGAGCGCAATGCCGCAGAAGCCTTTCATTACACTACCATGGGCGATTTCCTTATGCGCTCTCAACTGGACGCGTATGATCCACGGTTACCAGGATCTGGGATGTTTGATCTGAAGACAAGAGCCGTGGTCTCAATCCGGATGGACGCTCAGCAATTCCACAAGGGACTTGGCTATGAGATCCGCCGCCGTTATGGTCAGTGGGAGTCTTTTGAGCGCGAATACTTCGACATGATCAGATCTGCATTCCTCAAGTATTCTTTGCAAGTGCGAATGGGCCGTATGGATGGCATCTTCGTCGCCTTCCATAACACACAACGCATCTTCGGTTTCCAGTACATCCCCATCAACGAGATGGACCAAGCCATTCACGGAACCTTTCACCGAAATATTGGCGACCAAGAATTCAAGCTTAGCCTTCACCTTCTGAACAAGGTCCTCGATCGCGCGACTGAACGATTCCCTGGCCGATCCATCCGTCTTCATGTGGAAACGCGACCTACCGACCCTCCTTTTATGTATGTTTTCGCAAAGCCTGTTACAAAGGAAGATATCGACAAGGTCCAAACGCGCAACCAAGCTGCCGTCAGAGAGTTCGAGGAGCAGATTCTTGGTATGGCCTCAGAGGAGTCATCGGAGCCCGAGATGCAGGACTCGGAAGTCGAACAATCAGTTGGCCAAGAAGAAGATGAGGAAGCTATTAGCGTCGATGTGTCTAGTACTGAGTCTAGTAGCCAAGTATGGCAGACGCAAGCATTCTGGGAAGAAATGCAGGAGAAGGTCAACGAGGCAGTGGAAGACGATGCCCTCGGCATTGGCCATGTACGGGAGGCAATCCACGACGCACTGGAGCAAAGTGCATTGCTGAAGGCGAGAACACCTGAAGAAGCTCGCTGGTATGTCGACGGTCTTTTGGAGGCTCTCACTCGCAATCAAGCCAGCGAGGCACAGGACATTGATGGAAAGGATGATCAGACAGATGCGATGTCTGCGAGCGATATCAGTACCCCATCGGCCGATGCCGCTCAAGCTATTGAATCGAGCAAAGCACAAGAAGCTGTGCCAGCCGCTAGCGAGGGAACTGAGTCGGTCCAAGAGACAGACGGAGAGTCTTCGCTAGAGAGAGAGGTGCGCAGCTCTCGGAATCTCGGTCTGAAGGAGTTGATTCTCCGCGTTGCTTCGAATGTCGATGAGAATCTCGACGTGGAAGAAACCGACATTCCTGAAGACGACGCTACTTCCGACGTCTCCAAACTCCGAACGTTCGAGCGTATTCTCTCTAAGCTGGTTGCCGAGTCGAAGCAGTCGGAAATCAAGACGACACCTCAGGCTTCTGATATGGAGGAAGCAACGACTGGAATGGTTGAGGATCTTATCCCCAGTGCCAGCCAAACGGTAACCACCACCGAGTCTGCCAAGGATGCTGGCGGCAAAGAAGCCCAGGAGGACCAGACCCCTGAGCTTGATATCGTCGACAACGAGCTTCTCGGAATGGTCTTGACCGTGCGGAACAGGGTGAATGGAGAATACGCCCCTCGGCCCGACCCTAAGGCTGGCGTTTCGGCCTGGACCGTGGAGTATTCTATTGAAGAACTTCCTGCGGGCCGCGCCGAAGCTCTGTATAAAGCACTTCAGGTGCGACGCAAAAAGGCGCTCTCAAACGACAAGGATGCGAACGGGCCTGACCCATGGTACCACATGTTTTCGGGCAAGCTGGAACAGATGAGCAAGAGGGGCAGGAAATTCCGGGCGAAAATGGAAGAGAAGGCCCGGGAAAACCCAGTTCATATTTTTGGCATGGATGATCCCGTAACTTATGATGAGGCTTTCGGACACAGGGCCCAGTGGAAGACTGTATCCTGGGATGAAACGACAGACGAGCTGCGAGAGGACGATTTTGACGAGGAGACCTTGAAGGAAGGTATCTTCCAGGAGGACGAACTGGAGAAAAATGAGCCGCAAGTGAGCGAGCCAAAAAGAGAGGAGCTGAAGAAGGAGGAGCTGCAAGAGGACAAGCCACGAGACTCATAAATGGGGATCCCGCGGAGTCGGAGATGTATGATAATTGTGTACCTACCATTTGTAATCCATGTACAAAAACGGCGAGAGCGGATTTGGAATGATATAACCATTCTTCTCAGCATTTTCCTCAACCTGGAACGTCTACATTTACGTGCGTCTGGCTGCCAATGCAGTGCTACATTACCTTGGACGTGCGGGCTGCTTCAAAGACGTGTAAGCTAGGATTGCGACGCATTGACGAAGCTCGTCAATATTCAATTGGACCAGTCATTACAAATACACGTAGAGAATCCGTCTATGCGTCCTTTGGAGCCCACTGAGCTGGAGTCAAAGTCAAAAATAATGTAACCTTCATTTCTTCATTAAGCTACAAGTAACGATCATCATAACCTTCACCGTGGCCGCCGGTTCTTGAGGTATGACGCCTGCGAGGCATCTGCCTGCGATCCAGGCTGGGGCTTTGACAGTTGCCATGTCACTGAAGTGAGGATCTGGACAATGTTAGCAATGGTTACTCCCCGTCTGATCAAAGTGACGACAGACCATTGCAATCTGATTCAACCTGCTCTGGACGAGCTTCTCACTGGGCCCTATCCTAAACGCCCGGCTATTATTCCGAAACTGATGAAGCCTCGAAGTGCAGCGGCACCAAGGCAGCGCTGTTTTGTCTTTTTTGTAGTTTTACAACACCGCCAACGAGTGGCGATCTCCTTGCGTTCTGTTTCTTCATCGACGGGGGAATCCAGGGGGGTTGAAGCCCGGAGGAGGCATAAAGCCCGGCGGCGCGGGCGGTGTCCCAGAAGCCCCCGGAGGAGGCATGGGGAAGTTGGGAGGGGGCGCAGCGAAGCCTTGCGGTGCAGGAGGTCCGCTTGGCGGGCGGAAACCTGGGGCACCCGGGTGGAAGTCGGCCGGATTCGTGTAGCCGCCCTGCGACTGTGGCGGCCGCGCGGGCAGACCAGACGGCGCGGGAGGGAGTACGGCGCCGCGACCCATGCCTGGCCCACCCATACCTTGCGGTGGTGGTACGGCATTGTATTGCGCTGGTCCCCGCGGCGGAGGCGCGAATCCGGCTGGGGCTCCCGGGTTCGGGACTTGGACCGGCAGGCCGTTTGCGGGGTCGAATCCGGCGGGAGCAGTCGGCGCAGCGGCCGGTGGCGGGCCGTTGAGGAAAGCGGGTGGTACGGCCTGAATCTCTGGGACGATATTCCTCTTCTTGGCCTGCGCGGCGAGCTCACGCTCTGCAGCGTCACCGTGGCGCTCGCCCTTGCCGTCCTTCTTGAACGCGTACTGGACCGAGACCTCCTTGCTGAGGATGTATTGCATGTGCAAGTTGGCAATCGCCGCGTCGGCGCTCTCAAAGTCGGCATAAGATATGAAACCAAAGCCCTTTGAGTTGCCGCTGTCCTCTCTCGCGACCTTGGGCAAGTTGACGAGCGGACCGAAGCGCGAAAAGGTGTCGTAGAGGATCTTCTCGTCCACCATGCTGTCAAGGTTGCCCACGAAGAGCTCCGCGCCGACCTCTGCCTGCTTCTGCTTGTCCGCGCTGGCCTTGTTCACGCGCAAGGACTTGCCGTAGAGCTTGATGCCGTTCATCACGTTGGCGGCATACTCTGCGTCGCCCGGCGTCCTGAACTCGACGAAGCCGAAGCCCTGGTGGTTCTGGGTTACGCGGTCGCGGGGCATGTGAATGTTGTGGATGGGGCCCATCTGGAGCATGACCTCGTACACCATCGCCGGGGTCGCGCGTTCGTCAATGTTTCCGATGTAGATGGTCGCATCTTTGTCTTGTTCCCTGTGTCGCGCGTCGTAGGTTAGTTACAGTATCTTTGAACGATTACTTTGGGGCGAATTGGAGCTTACCAATGCCTGTTTTGTGCCATTTTGAAATTTCGGCACCTTCAGTGCTCTCTGTACGATCTATGGATGATACTTGCAAGATGAATCAGACCGTCAGAATGCGTGAGGCGGAAAGTCGTTGGTCCCCTTGTACCATAAAGACCTGGAAATTTTGGCCTTGACGTTCAGTCGCGGTTGAGCTATGGTGGTACGTACCTTATCGTGCAATCCAAGGTCGATAAGCCTCCCTGCGCGGTTGTTCCGGCGGCTCCACTCGATGCGTTTTTCCGGCAGACGAAGAAAAGTTCAGGAACAGCTTCCAGCGCATCCACTACCAGCTCCCTGACGCAGCGACGACGAGATATCCACGAACTCCCAGCGACGACGACGAAGACCGCCATCACGCGAACTCGATCTGATTCAACGCATCAAATATTTTCGACGTCACATTCCAACCGTCAAGATGTTCGCCCTCTCCGAAGAGTCCAAGGTGCGACACCGCAACGACAGCTAGATCACGTCGCATGGAATTGGATCTAATCATTGCATATTATAGGAGCGCATTGGCAAGATCATTGAGATCTCCCGTATTGCCATCCACTAGTATGTAGTCTCCTGTGACTGATGAGAAAGAAACCCAGTGACTGACCTATTCACAGCGGCTACCTCCCTCTCGTCCTCTACCTCGGTACGAATGATTAATGCTTCGATTCGGACTACGCCTCTGACAGCGAAACTGACCAACTTTTGCAGGCTACACCCGCAGCGAGCCCCGTCCCGCTTTCATCCGGTAGGCGTTACCCCGAGACGCGCGAATATCACGGAGCAGCGTAGCTAATCCTTCTCCAGCCTTATTTCTCCCCTCTCTTAGACGACGCGTGTCTCAACATCGACTTTTTGTACAATATTAGGCTTGCGACATTTTGGATGCTAGCCAACATTTGGGGGGGTGACACACCGGATCACTGGCAAATGGTGATGAGGAAAATGCAGGCCGCGGCTCCGGCGCATTGTACAACTACATATGTAATCAAATGAAACCTCTCTGACGACATACTCTTGTCTACTGTACGCAACTACAAATGGTCCCGCAGCGCGGACACCAATGTTGGGAGGAATTGGGTGCAATTAGCTGGTTGTTAATGGACATTCGGAGCTTGCCACGGGTAACTGGCGCATTCTAGCTTATTCTTACACATCGCATCTGATGCAGCTTCTGGAAAAAAAAAAAGTGTTCTCCCAACGCGAACGGCTAGTGCCTGGAAGCAGAAAAGACAGAATATACATAGTTGAAGGCTCAAGTAGAAGTCAACAAGCTTTGCAGAATTATTGCAGTCTTTCAATGATTCTGAAGACTAGTCGAACGTACACGTTAAAAGAATTGCGTTTATGGGCATTAGGGGCTGTTGATATCCCTCCTACCTTACGCCTGGTCATAAGGTAACCTGCGAAAGGAGCTTTAGTGTGGCTGGAGCTCTGAAAAAGTGACGGCGGAGCCGCAATTTAATGAGCTAACATGACGTATGAATAATCACTCGGTCGCATTTTTCTGGTAAGCTACAGTCCTCAGCCACACTAGCGCTTCACCAAGCTCCTTTTACACAGGTTCCGACATCTGAGCTTGGCCGAGGTCTCTGCAACTGGATGCGTGAGCTCGCAGTCACGTTTTCTACATAGAGCAATGTGACAGAGGTCCCTCTCACTTCTATGTCAGAAAGCAAAAATGCGGGCATCTCACCCGCTCTGGTCGAGTCCGTCGCCGGTCTCTCGGCCGGCTCGGTTGCGACTTTGGTAGTTCACCCGCTTGATATCGTGAAGACGCGAATGCAAAGTAAGTGAAGGAATGATGTGTCTATCTAAGAACCATCCAAAAGCAGTCCCTAACAAGTAGAGCCTAGTCCACCGGAGCGCGGCCAACCCTTCAGTGTCGCTGACAACCATGTCTCTCATCCGCACGCTCACACAGAACCCGCATCCCATCGCCTCCCTCTACCGCGGCCTGACACCGAACCTTATCGGCAACGCATCAAGCTGGTCCGCCTTCTTCTTCTTCAAGTCGCGCGTCGAGCGCGCCATCGCTCTCTGGAGAGCCGGCTACATGCCGCTGACGAGCGGCTCCGGCGCCGACGCCCGCAACCTGACCAAGGAGTACCTCACCACCCAGGACTTCTTCGTGTCGTCTGCGCTCGCCGGAGCGCTGACGCAGGTCCTAACGAACCCGGTCTGGGTCCTCAAGACGCGTATGCTCTCATCCGACCGCACCGCCGCGGGCGCCTACGCCAATATGTGGACCGGCGCGCGGCTGCTGTATCGCTCCGAGGGTCTCCGGGGCTTCTACCGCGGTCTCGGCGTCAGTCTGATCGGGGTCTCGCACGGCGCGGTACAGTTTGCCGTATACGAGCCCGCCAAGAAGATGTATTTCGCCGGAAGGCAGCGGAAGGGCGACAATGGCGGGCGGTTGAGCAACGAGGCGACGGTGGTCATCTCGAGCGTTGCGAAGCTGGTCGCGGGGGCTGTAACGTATCCCTACCAGGTGCTCCGGAGTCGACTACAGAACTACGACGCCGATGAGAGGTTCGGACGGGGTATCCGGGGTGTTGTGAAAAGGATTTGGCAGGAGGAAGGCGCCAGAGGTTTCTACAGAGGCCTGATGCCGGGAGTCGTCAGGGTGATGCCGGCTACATGGGTCACTTTCCTTGTGTACGAGAACGTCAAATACTACTTACCACAGTGGGTGGCCTAGGCTTGTAATGATAGTGTCGGAACAAGAGATACCATTCGAGAATAAATATGTTCCTGCTAGCGAGAGTGAAGATTCAATGGCCAAGTAAGATTGCACTTGCAATGTCAGGGACGCCATCTGGTTTGCATGACTTTAGGCTACGAAATAAGAAAGATCTTCATGAAACGGCTGCTTGTGTGTCTTTGGTGGTCTTGGACGTGGCAAACGCCTGTGTCCTCAAGTTTGCTATTCGACCCCTTACTCAAACACGTCTGTACGGAGACCATTACATTGCCACTAGAAATAAGCAACAGTGAGATCAACCGACATAACAAGATAACCCAAACTTACTCTCAGGAGAGAGTGTGTGAGTTGCTCTGGCTTATACAGCACATTGGGGGAAGCTTCGTTATGTGGCCCTTCTTGACTGCTCAACTCTAGGGACTTGCATTTTCCTACATCTAGTTTTTTAGATTAGACCACAGTTGTAAATCGACGTAACAAGATAGAATTCCCACGAGCGATAAAACTCTTGTGTAGACTTGGATTACTCCTCATTACTCTTCATCGTCAGCGTTGTATCACATGGTTGATGGCCAGTCAAAATCCGTTGCATCTTCGTTTCACGTTTCGTTTTGTTTCATTGTATCTCATCCCTCATATCTCTCTGAAATCAGCCGCTCTTGATCCGTTGAATCAACCAGTAGAGCGATACCATCAAATTACTGAGTACAACAAAGACGAGAGAATAAAGACGACATAGTACACGAACGTTCTGATCTTGGAAGTCTCGAACCTTGTGTTTAGAGACCCCCCGTCGTTCTGGATCAGTTTATGCCTATACTCGCACCATCTGTACTCAGAATACCCATATCAGACTCGATAGATGGCCAATTTTGCGATGAACTTCCATCACTGTAGTTACCTGCTCATTGAAAGATCATAAAAACGATAATCAGGAACCTCATTCGAATTCGAGGAAAGCCATGCTCAAGCCGGGTGATTGGCACAATAGACTTACCAGTGGTGAATTCTGATAGATTATCAAAAGCTCAAACATAGGCCCAAGGCACTGGGATAGGGGCTGCAAGACGAACATCGACTTTCCTACTTAACGAGTAGTTCAATCTCCAAGGCTACCAAGCACAAGCTCAAGGCTTTGTCAGAGCTTATTCGCACGCGAGAGCGAAGGCTTCACTGAATGGACAAACCCAGAGGAATGTGCCATCGCTTCGAGGCTGGTTCTACGAGCGACGTTGAAGAGCACTGAGCCACTGGCAACAAGAATTCACCGATCCACGATCCAGAGTCTCACACGTGGCTCGTCATACGCCGCTGCTATCGCTCTGTGTGACGGAATATGGTACTTTTCGAATGTGCAGAAGACCAGTGAGGGGTTTCGACACCAGGAAAGTCTGTCTGATTTCCACCAAAGTCATGAGACCATAGGCTGAAGCACAAAGAACATGGCGAATCTTTCCTTGAGAATGACACTTGTTCGATCTGATCATGTCGTAATCCAAAATACCAGATCACAAAAGCCATCAATGCCCAGCCTTCTCTTCGAACCGAAACCCACGCCTTGTACCCCATTTGTCTCTCAAGGCTCGGCACACAAAACAGTAAAACCACACATCCCACGCCTCCCAGCGGGCGCGGCATTCGACGTCCGAGACAGACAACTCACTAACACAACACGAGGCTTGCTATACCCCCCTACTCAAGTACCTCCTTGCTTCGGAATCAGCACCCCTTCTTTACGAGACACTCGTAGCAGAGTAATAACTCTGTTTTTGCTACCTATCCTGCATAGCCTGTAGGTACTGATGAATGAAGACCGAACACACCACCACCACCACCATCTCACCATGTAATGGAATGTTCCGTCTCTCCTCCCGGCCCCCCGTTACCCTCTCAAGCCACCCAGAAGCCACGAGGACGTTTCTCAGTTCTCAGATGTAGGTACGGGCACTCAAAGAAAGAGAAGAAGCAAAGAAAAGAGAAGGCGTAAGGTAGGCGGACGAGAAGAGCCGTGAGACTTTTTGACATGTCACGTCCGGATCCTAGCGGAAAGGGAAGCCGGCAGATCCCACACAGGTCATCCATCCATCCATCCCGCCCAGCCAGCCAGCGATAGCCTAGCCAGCACACCACTTCCAGTAAATCACCTCACTGACGCGCGCCTCGATCGTCAAAAGGTACCTGATCTCATAAGTGGTGAGATGAAGAGGAGAGGGGAGGCGATCTGGATATCCAATCGTCGACAAGAGGAGAGGCCCTTGGCTCTTCGTCCCCTTGGGCTTCTCTCCTGCAGGCCTCTCTTCTTGCAGAGCGGGCACTGTGGAGAGGGGAGAAGATGGACCCCTTATGAAGTCCTTGCCGGATGTAGCCCAACGTTACACGTACATCTCTGCGTGGCCTTTTCCCACATTTCCCTTGGCCCCTCCTATCAGAATAGCACCCGCGGCATCGTGGTATGACAAGAGCACGAGAACACAAGAACTTTGAAAAAAAAAAAGAGGAGAAAAAAAAGGAAGAATTCACTGTGGTCGGGATGGGAAAAGGGTCCAAAGTGCAGGATCTCACGGTGAACAACTGTCAATCTCACTCGCACGCGCACATACACATACACACACACACTTACGGATACCGACGCCTACATCCACGCTCACACACTCTCACACATGTGATGTACCACCGCTCCTTTTTACGGGAATAAGTCTCGAAGGAAATGGAGGGCTAGGGGAACGGGAGAAGGGTGGAAAGAAAGGAGATGTGCCGGTACGTTCTCACATCTTTCGCCATTGAGACTAGATAGCCGGTGCCCTTCACTCCATCGCCAACTCGGGAAATACCTTATCTGGGATATATCTTAATCTTAAGCGCGGAAGCCCCTCTTAAGAGGCGGGTAGAGGAAGTAACGGTTACACAAAGAAGCAGCCAGCAACCTACCCATCCATCACATATCATCCACTCAGAGTCCCCCAAAACATGTTCAGGCTCATGGCATCCTCCCCCCAATGCCGAAATGGCTTTTCCCTTGTGCTTGTGAAGAGAGTAATCACGATTGTCTATCGGACTGTTCCGAATCTGCGACTGAGCCATCATTCTTCCTCCGTGCCGTCCCTCCCATCTCCGATCCCAGACATAGGAAAGAAACAGGCCACATCTCAGTTTCTCATGCCACTGCGGTTCACATTCAACTGAAACCCCTTTGTCCTTGCTCTTCCTCTCTCTCCCCGCCTTCCTCTGACCACCATGTCTCTGGAACCGTGTCTCTCTTCTTACACGTCTCACAACCTTTTCCCACTCGCCACTTCCACACACACCCCTAGCTACCTAGCGTGTCTGGGTAATCTTGTCTCGCTCGCAGCCTACCTACCTGACTTAACGGTCTTATAACTCCCTCAAGCTGTTCCACCACCTCCTCTTCAAGACATAGGAACACTCACCAAAGTAGAGGAAACCAGGGTGAACGGAACACAGCTCACACACACACACACCCTACAACTGAGTGATACATCCCAAGAGACAGGCCTCACTCACTATCCATCTGGATCAGAGTGGCACCGTTGTTACAGGTCACAAAAGCACACACCAGAAAACCCGCGTGTTGGGTTTTGGGGTTTCCCAACGGCCGTGGATCCGAAGTCCCGCGCTCCGCGAGGTCGTGTGGGCTTGGCTTTTCAAGCAGGACGATACATGACGCCGTGAGGAAGGGGGGCGTGAGAAACAAGAACAAGATTACAATGATTGATGACTACAATGATGATGATGATGATGATGATAACAATGATGATGATGGAGAAATGGAGAAAGTGCAGATAGGACTTCGACCGTCGACAACCAAGACAACCGTAAACTGCACGACATTTCTCGCCCCTTCGGACTCCTCTTGCTACTTACCTACTCCTTGCCATGACTCCATCTCTACAGGACCTGCCAACGTGTCAAACCTGCGTCTCTCCCCTCCCCCCATCGTGCTCCTCCAACCAGAGCCACAGGAATGAAGTGCTGGGCAACGGCATCGCAGCTACCTAAACCGCTCCTCAAGCCCACCTGGTGCCCACGTATCCCGTCTGAAGTCTCCAGTACCGGGTCCCCGAAGCCCAGAGTCCAGCCCATACGATCAAGGCAATGGTCCAGAGCAGGTTCAGCCAGCCATTCACGGTTCAACGACAGCTCTCATCTCTCTCAACATGTCTCCCTTGCTCAAGATTGCTCAAGAGGAGGCAAAGACTCTCCCCAAAGAACAAATCACAATGCCACGTTCAGAAGCCCAGAAGTGCGTCCTGGGGCTCTAGCGTGGCAAAAAAAAACACTCGAGGTAGTATCCGTAAGGGGGTTTTGGGGGGCAAGGGTGACAGGCGATAGGCTGGAGAGAGAAAGAGAAAGAGAGGACACAGAAGGGGAGGGGACCAACGGGGGATGAGCACTGAGCAGAGCTTTTCCCCTCGCAGCAGCTCCACGCCGCAGTAGAGGTAGACTACAGTACTGGACGTTGAGACTTTGAGATGAAAATGGAGCCTTTTTTTGGGTGCGCTGCCGTGGCAGCGTGGTTTGCGTAGTGTCAGTTGCGGCCCCGAACAAGCATCACCCCTACTCCGTCGCTCAGCTTTGTTTCCCGTGTGTGCACGGCGTGTACGGCGTGCCGTGGACCCCCATCTTTTTTTTTTTTTTTTTTTTTTTTTTTTTTTTCGCTCGCTCGCCCGCGCCTCCTCCTCCTCCGACTTACACTGGAGACGGCGACTACGGAGCAAAAGACGCACGCGCTTGTCGTTCGTCTCGCTCATGATCGGTTGCCCCTCTTGTACCGTTTTTGCGGAAACCGATATAGTCCACTCAAGCATGGTATCCCCTCCCATTGCGCGCCTCAATCACAGTGGCTATGTGCGCGACATTTCAAACTCAACCCAACCACTAGGATCATATTGAGCGGTGGGAACAATAAGAGAAGCGCAATAGAGAGGGAGAGAGACAGAAAACCCAGAGAGCAAGAGGGCGTGAGTCATCTGATACAG